TTTTAGATTTAGAAATACTTTCAACATATAAATCTAAGCATATACGGGGTTCTTTATTACAAATTTTTAATATTAAATATCGTGAAATTTTATATACAAAAATACGTTATATATACACCGAAGTATTACATATTGTATGCTTTTTATTAATGTACTATAAACAATTGTGAACACTTTTATATTGAAAAATGGGTGGATATGAAATGTAATGTTAATTTAATATACTTATTATGTCATATGATAATTATTGTGTTTTAATTTTAAAATATTATGTATATAGAATTCTATATAATTTAAAAATTTCTAAATATTAAATTATACGAGTATAAATAAAATTTTTGTTTTTAAGGATTTATTTAATACATTCAAAGAAATGTATCTTTAAAATTACCAAATAATTCAGCAAATATAAGTTATAAGCTGAATTGTATACCTACATCACAATATTGAAATTTTGAAATCAGAGAAAAATGTTTGAATACATTTACGTCTTGAAATATCAACTTTTTTGTATTCAAGTTTTCAATAAATCACTTATATATTTCAGATATTATCACATTTTCTTAAAACATTAATATAGATCTAACAGGTAAACTTATTCAGCAATATGATTTAAATAGCTGAATAAAATTAAAATAGCTCATAAAAGTCCAATTGATATTAAATGAGCATTAAAATCAGCAAATTTTGACAGCCACGTTTTGCGAAGAATGGCTTAATTCAAAAATGCAATAATACAGTATTAAAACGTAATATTTTATTTTTGAATTATTGTAATTTCTGAATTGGATATTACTGCTAAATTATCGCAATTTTGAAATTAATGGATATCGTTAAATGACCAATGATTTTTAACATATTTTCTAAATTTTAAATTGATAAATCCTTACAATTGCAAACATACATATTTAAAAAGCATATGTCTATATATATATATATATATATATATATATATATATATATATATATATATATCTATATATATATAGTAAATTCTGAATATAAAAAGTACTTATTTTTGATTTCACACTATTCGAACTTCCATGAATCTATTTGTACTCGCTGTACAAATGCTAATTCTTGAAAGTATACTAATAATTCTTTTTTTTGATAACTTGTCGTGCCCAAATCGCAAACAATTTTAACAAGATTCAAACGTACAAAAATATCATCCGTAAAATTTTATGGATGATATTTTATGGGGTATTCAAAGTGATTCTTGAAATTAATCGTTGTCTTCCACTTTCGTTGTTTTTCACAAATCGTGGGCATAACCAAGACGCGTTTAAGCAATTCTACATTTCGAAAGAGAAGTGCACCTTGTATACAAACCAATCGTTTAAAAAGTTTTCCAAACCCCACTTTATTTTATGTACAATTTTTTGACCTTTCTTAGAGTTTTAATGATTTAATTTTATTCAAAAAACTTAATTTTTTATTATTATTTCGAAAATGTGTACATATTTTGTATTTAGACCTTATATAATTATAATTCTCCTTAAGAACTCAGTAAATTTTTATTTGTTCCTCTACTTTAAAATATATTCGCAATGTATCTACTATATTACCCTACATAATAAAAAAGATAATTCAATTAAAAAAATAAAATATAATTTTATTGTAATTGAAAAATACTCCACTAGGAGACAATAAGGTACAGCTAATAAATATTTAAGAGAAACGTTAATCCAAATAATTTAAGAGAAAAAAATATGCAAAGATTGTTGAAAATATTTAAATTATTTATTTAGAAAAAAAATTAACAACATTATTATGAATAAATTTAATAAATTATATCAATATTGATACTTATTAATATTTGTATAAAAAAAAAACTAAATCACTATAATACACATAACTAGCTTCCAAATATAAAATCATTATGACCTTTATTATTTTGTATACAATGCTGGGCAAATCTATATTATACTTAAAAAAATAATAATGTAATCTTGCTATATAAATCCCCTATACATATATATATATATTTTACCTGGCCGTGTAATATATTCTATCGCATATAATATAGAAAAAGAAAATATATATATGTATGTGCAAATGCCTATACAATGTATAAAAAAATAAAGGAAAACACAACACACAACAAGAAAAAAACGGAAAAAGAAAATTCACAACAATAATAAAATAAATGAAGGCTCCTTAGAGACTAGAAATTGTATTTGTATTATCACCAATATATTTGAATATAGCAGTAGCTAGCGTACAGCAAAATGAGATTATCATGACATCATTAACCTTAGTTTGTTTTCTCTTTTTTTTTAACTGTTTATTTTTGGTTTCTTGTTTGGTTTTTTTTTAGATGTTTTCATTCTTTTTTGCTTTTGCATTTTGCTTTTTATATACACAAATGTTTTATTTTAATTTAAATGAATTTTATAATATAAACTGTCAATAAATTTATGACATCATATAATGTACTTAATAAATTAAGTTAAAATTCGGTTAAGTTTAAATTATTTTTTTTAAAAAAAATTTCCCCCCAACATAACTTTGTAATTCGAAAAACACGTGCTTAGTTTATAAGAACAACATCTTGATAAAATATTCTTTGAATAATTGAAATGTTGCGTGGTATATGTTGTATGATAAAAGTTTAAATATAAACAAGCAAATTTTGTCGGATCCAATAACGTTTTAAAAAAAAAATATGGGATTCTCTGTATTGTGCATTAAGCTACAAAGTAACTCATTTTTACTTTAAACATTACATATGTATTTTTGATTATATCATTTGGAAAAAAATTATTAAAACAAAATAGATCTTTCTTGAGCTTACAAATTTGTTATAACATTTGACATGTTATGTATAGCAAATGGATTTTTTCGCCAAATTGTCAAAGACAGCATTACGAGTATACATCGGTAATAATAAAAGTAAACTGTAAAAATAAAATTCTTTTAATATTTTCAAATTCGCAAAGAAATCTATGTCGAATTCGACATACATAATACCAAATTGTCACACTCGCTAAACTTCTTAGTGATATATGTATATATATGTACAAATTAATTAAAAATGAAATCAACTTCTCTATATATTTTTAATGGAATGTTAAAAAACATAAGTACGTATTTTTCTGGTTAATCGAAAATTTATCAAAATCAATTTTAGAAAAAAAAGGAAAACTGAGAAATTAGTCATTCAGTAACTAGGTCATAAAAATAAAAAATTATATATGGGAGGAATGGGCCAAATACATATATGTATTTTTCTCGAGCTACAGCCTATTAAAAAAAACTTTTCCTTAATACAAATTAAAGTTTTTTCGGAATCATTAGAAATTCGCTTTATAATTATTTAGGCTTTACAGGTTCTTTATTTTTATTTTTATAATTAATTAAATTTCAGATTCAGCTCAAAATTTTCTAGATGCGGTTAAATGAATTCTTAAAGTTCGTTTCATACAACATTTTACTCAGTTTATCAGAAATTTGTCTGTAAAACATGGTTAAAATGTATTAAACACTTACATTATTTTGGATACAAGTAATAAAAGTTCAATTAATTGCAAAATTTTGTTTTTGCCCATTTTGTTTTGTTTTTCAATTTATTTATTATGTACATATATAGGTAAAAGTATTTAAGTTTTCAATTTAAATAAATTACGAAAAAAATTAATTTCACTATAATATAAATAAGCGAACATAAGTTAATTAATTGCATAAGGACAACATAAAATATAAGTTAGAAAAGTGCGTATATTTATATATACATTATATATTTTTTATATGTATTATAGCCACAAACAAAAAAAAAAAAATAAAAATTTAATTTCTGTCATAATAATAAGAAGAATAAAAAATATATTAATAATATTATAAATAGTCTCCCATTATAATAGTAATCCGCAACCACCCGTCAAATATCCTTCTGTTGTATACATATAACTATGTGTGTGTATGTGTAATCTATTACTCTTAATCATTTTTCAAATAAAATAAATTTATTTTCTCACATAAACCTACACAAATAGTGACAGATTTATTTTATTTTTTCTTTTTTTAATAAATATACAAGTAATTTTGTAATAAATTGTGTTATAACCTCAAAAAAAAAAAACCAAAATTATTAATAAAATGAGAAGAAAAAAAGAAAATAGAAATAATTTTTTTTTTTATTTTGTACACAAATGCATTTATGTAAAAAAAAAAATCTCGCTTATATTTTTCCGCTGTTTAATTTTTTTTTTCCTCATATTTTATTTTTTATTCTTTTCTCAAACAATTTTTATTGATTTTTACCATAATTTTTTGTATTTTATATATACTACATAAATATGTGACCATATATATATATTATAGAATATTTATTATAGTATACGTAAAGAATACATATATATACACTTGCATACATTATATACATTCATATATAGATTTGTATTTAAATACGATATTTATAATATATTTCAATATAAAATATTTATGGATATATATATATATGCATATATATTTAATATAAAAAGAGTAGACAAATACAAACACATAAAATGTATATATATATATATATATATATATATATATATATATATATATTAATATATATACATATATATTATATATTATATATAATATCATTTATAATAATGATTTCGACTTTCCGTTATTTTATACAAAAAAATGAATATATCCCAACTTATTATATCGGTATATATATTATATTCATATAGTATATATATGTATAAGAATTTTTTATACTTTTTATATATATATACATTTACAATATGTATTTAAGATTGTTTCTGATTTTTTAGTGTCTTTATAATATTATAATAAATTTCTTTCCGTTTTATTTCTACAATATAATACAATGAATAATATGTTTGAAAAAGAATAATTAATTTTAAAATAATATATATAATGTGTATATATATAGAATGTATCAATAAATTAATAAAGATTCTATTTAAATGAATATGTATATATGTTTTTTTTTTATATAATTTTTAATAATTTAAAAATTCAAATAATTTTTCTTTTACCTCATCAACAAACTCAAAGTCTCCTTCATATTTCTTCTTTTTTGCCTCTGTTAAATTAACAGTTAATGTTAATATTAAACCAAATAATAAAACAATTATTACTTTCATTTTGAATTACAAATATGTATGTATGTATGTGTATTAGATTTTTCAAAATATTTTGATGTCTGAAATGAGGTTTTAATTTTAATTTGCAAATAAAAAAATTATTTAAAAATTATTTTTTGTATAGAGAGAAAGAAAAAACAAAAAAAAACACAGAATGAAAATTATTCAAACACTTTTTGTTTTTTCCTTTTTTATATTTTTTGTTTTTTTTTTTTTTTTTTAATATATTATATGTTGTATGTACTTTTGTATTATACACAGATCATTTATTATTATTATTTTTGTTTTATAAAATGAACAATTTTTAAAAAGCTTTCATAAAAATCTTGGAAAATATTTAAAATATTCCTTATGTAATTTTCCTTTATATTTTTTATATAATTTATTTAAGATTTTATATTATTATAATTATTTTTTTAATATTGTTCAATATTATTTATAATATATGTATGTAAGTACTTTGAAATTTAATTTTTTATATGTATATATTATAAATTCATTTTGATTCGAAATAAATTTTGTAATTCGAAATATAATATTAATTAATTGTACATAAAAATACTTTTACAATATATTTATGTAATATATATAAGAATTCATATACATATATGTATGTATATATAAATTTAATAAAAAAAAATCAACTTTAATTTATTTTTTAATTATAATTTTTTTTATTTGTTTTTATATACTAAAATATTAATTATTTTAATTATAATATTTTTATATATTTTATAATATGATTAATTTCACCAGAAGCAATATTATTTATTTTGTTCTATGCCTGACAATTGACCATCTATAACTATTTATTCAAATTTCTGCAAAGCTAAATTAAAAGAGTCCTGTTTCCTATTTTCATATTATATTTACATATGTATGTATATTTCTCCGAGAATAATAAAAAAAGCAAAAATGAAAAAGCTGTATTTATTTTCTATACATGTATGCATATTTCAATGTATAGACAAAATTTTCATTGTATTATAATTGTGCGACACCAATATATTGTTAAGCTGTATACTGTAAGGTATAACGACATTAGAACAATATCCTAATATAAGAAAAAATTTACATAGACTTATGGCAAATTCAACAAGAAATTTTGTTATAAATATGACCATTATGATATTATGTATTACGAATTCTTCAGATTTCTTTATAAATTCGATGAAAAGTTTTATGAATGAAAATATGATGTGAAAAGCACGCGGACGAATTCGTGAAAATTGCAAAAGAATCAACAATAGTTTACTTAAAAACACTGTTAACATTTTACAATTATGCTTGCCATTTCGTAAAAATATTGGCGAATAGATTCATTCACCATACATATTACAAAATATAATATTATGCTAGCGAAGTCTACATCTCAAGAAAATTTGACATTTTGGAGAATTAACCATACCTAACCTTTCAATAATAAAAATATTAATGTAAAAAATTAAAATTGAATGCCATTATGTGCATAATGTATATATGTATGTATATTATGTATAGTGGTGCAAATAAACATGTAACAGTAAAATAATTTATTATAAGAATCGATATTCTTTTTTGCCAACCAATAAAATTTTATTTTAAAACTTTTTCTAGGGCGACTTCAAATTCAAATTTATAGGTTAAAAAATTAGAACCTTATAGATAGATTCTTGCCACCTTCATAATGATGTCAATACCAACCTAAATTAACAATTTTACATGTATCGAAAATATATAACATTCGGAAAAGTATTATTAATTTCATGTTACCATACCATAATATTTACTAAGAAGAGTTTCCAAATACAGAAGAATTTCCAAATCCGAAAACAAATACATTATTAGCATTAGTTGCAAGCTCAAGATACTGGAAAAATTTATGAAGCTTTTCTATGGTTTCTCATTGATGTATTGTTTTTATTCTTTATATTTGTGGGCGCATAAGTGTACATATGTATATAACAGTTACACACACTATCACAAATAAAAAATTGAGCATATTTTTTAAAATTTTTCTCTTATATTAATTTTGCTCAAAAAAGAAAGAAGCTAGATTTTACAGTTCACTACAAAATACTAAGACGCTTAAGTTAATAATTTTAAGTATTCTTTTTAAATATGACCTAGGGTTCCGGGATTTCAAAATATAGGAATTTAAGAATTTTTCATAATTGCATTGAAAACAATTATGATAGACATTTGAATACAAGACTCTTGAGTTTTTAAGTAATGCTAACATTTACTTTATGAATCAAAAATTTTTGATTGAATATTTAAGAAAGATAGATATTTACTTTTGATATGCTATATATTAATATTTTATAGTACATACTAAATATGTATGTTTGGTCGTTAACTTTCATTTGTAAGCTCCTTCAAATGCTTTATATATGTAAGTACTTTTGCCATAGGGTTGAGTAAATTTTTTTCGTCGTATATAATTATAATTAAAAACAGAGTAGTTGTGTTTTGCATTACATATATTGCAATAATAAAAATTCTAGCAAAAATTTACGTTTTAAGTGTTTATTTTATCATAAAATTACATCTTCCATAATTTACTTGTTGTCTTACTATTACTCAACAAAATGCATTTTTATTTAATGCAAAAAGTTAACCTAAAGAACTGCAGAAAATTAACCAGGACTTAACCTAAAGAACTGAAAATTCTAATAAATTAAATAAGTTTTAGAACACCATTGCAAGCATTATAATAAAAAACGCTATATTGAAAACTTTGAAATTATCTGAATTCAGTTCTATAAAATTAAAAACTTTAAAAACGGTAAAAAGTTTTATTTGTAACATATATATATACATATGTGTGCATATGGGATTTGAAATATGCATATATGTACTCATATATCCTTATATATATATCCTTATATATAAATTGTTGTTGGTATAAAGCTAATGCCATATATATCTATCAGGCCATCAAGCTTAGAGAGCGCATCAAAAATAAATTCCAAATTTATATGGAGTTTAAATGGAAGCGGTGCCGGAATTTATTTGTGTAAAGGAAATTAATTGATCAATATTTTTGGCTCTACTGATTCTACATATTTTTTGAAATTTAAATTTCAAAAAAATAGGTTGGTAAATTTCACCTGAAAAATGCAATTTTTAGCGCAGACAATTTTTCTTGTCTTCCAAATGGAAAGGTACCGAATTGCAGAGTAATATTTTTGAATAAGGAGTAGAATTTAAAAATAAATTTAAATAAAAAGCGAAAAATTAATAACTATAATCTAGGTTCCTTTTAAATCTGTACTAAATAAAATAAGATTCATAAAGAATATTCAAAAACTTCACAAAAAAAAAATAAAAAAATATTTCATACTTTAATCATAAAACGTTAAGGAATTTTTTTTGTATTTTTTTCCGATTCAAAATTTCGGAACATATTTTCAGCTTGGAGGCCTGATATATATGGCATACATACTAGTTTTCAATATTTTTTTCACATACTTATTTACACAAAGTGTAAATAAGTATGTATAAAAAATATTGAAAACTACATACAACACATACTCACTTTTACATGTTACATATTCGTACAATACATACATTGACTGCTTTTGTCGACATTAATTTTTTATACCATAACAACACAAATTGTTTTCCTGATTTTGCGCATTTATAAAATTTTCTGTAAAATATGTATATATGTATGTATTAGAATTAGTATCAGTTTGTAAATTCCATTTTATATAAAATACCTTTTTTTAAAAGCACAATACACAAATGTGATATAATACAAAATTTCTTAAAATACAAAAATTCCAATTGTAAGCTTAACTTTGCTGATAGTGTAGGAATTCCACTTTTGTGCATGCTAGTATAAGAAATTTGATTTTCATCTTTTCTACAAAATAAAGTAATATTATAATACATGCATGTATATACGTTACGTACATATACAGTAAAACACGGTTAAGTGGATCACGCTTAAGTGGATTTCACGCTTAATTGCATCAAATTTTCGTGGCTTGTACTTTTTTCGATTTTTTCATATAAAAAAATTCGTTTAAGTGGAATTCGGATAAGTGCACAACACGCTTATCTGCACATATATTTTTTCCCTCATGTAATACTTAATATGTAAATTTATTCGGTTAACTGCACATCCCTGTTTTTATTTAGCATAAATGTCAAAAATGAAAAACTACACTCTAAACTACAAAATAAGAAAAGCAACACTATGTAGCTACACAAAATATTTTAATTTCTGTCATTGTCAAATTTTGAGTGTTGAAAAATTAAAGTTATAATATTATAGTCGAATTCGTATAATAGTATAGTCGAATTCGTATAAGTGGAAAACACGCTTTAGTGGACAAAATTTTCTTGGCTGATCGATTTCCACTTAACCGTGTTTTACTGTATATACACATAAATATGATTACTTTTATAATTTTAACAGATTTGCTGAATAAATCCGCACATATAAATGCGTTTGTGCCGATATGTGGTACAAGTTTCTTAACAAAATTCATTTTCAAATTCATAATTGGAATGGTTCAACTCACTCTTTTAGATCGATTTGCGTTGAACTGTCACTTTTTATGATTCGCAGTCAAATCTATATACACAAAATAACTGAAAATACAAAAACAAAAGAAAATTATATTTATTAGAAATATTTTTTTCTTCATTTAGTTATTTATTTTTTTGTAAACCTTTTATTTTGCATGTCATTTGGCATATGAAATTTCATTTTGTATTATTTTACGGAAGCAAAAACTACCAAAAATATTATGTAAATTTATAAAAAAAAAATTATTTTAATTACTTAAATATTAAAATAAAATGTATTCTTTTTAAATTGCTAAAGGTTAGTTTTATTTTAACTTTAGAAATTTGGGGTGATAGCCTGTCGAATGCAAATATTGATGTAATGTGTAATTACTATCGTTCCGTTTGACAATTTGAAAAGTAATTTAGAACTAACATACGCCCAATTTAGACAATGTTAATCATATCAAACTAATAGCATTTGACTTAGATATGTCACTGTGACTGTTAGAATACAAGTGGATATCAATTCACTTTAAGATTTTCTCTTACGTATTCATATATTGTATAAGCTTTATTTTTTTACACACGTAAATTTACGTAAGCAGGTGTATTTATTATTTTAGTTTCGTTCAACGCAATACTATTTGTGGGAATTCCAATATATTTTTAATATTATAACGTATATTTAAACACTCAAAATCAATTTTTTTTGACAACCGCATACCGCGTCCTTTAAATTCACCTTATGCGAATATTGAATGGAGAAAAGAATGTCATATTGGAGATAAAAAGAAAAAGAACATTTTGTGATAATGCTCAAATTATGTATTTACACTTTGAAGTCATGCAGTTTTTTCATTTATTTCGTTGACTTTTTTATGCAATTGATGGAAACCTTATTGCAAAAAGTGGCAAATCAAAAAAATTAAAATTGGTAAAACAGTTGACAGATTTTTTTTTATGTACAGTCAAAATGATCACTAACAGCACCTGTGACAGGGAATGTCATTCTAAAAACAAAATTCTGAAATTAATGTCAAACAAACGTGGTAGCTTACTTAGAAGTTGTTTACAAAACCGACTTACTAAACTCTTTTCAAACGTCTTACATAGATAGATTCAGTTTATTCGAAAACATGTTTTATTTGATTGGACTTGGTCTGGGAGATCCGAAAGATATAACAGTGCGCGGCTTAGAAATAATTAAAAATTGTGATAAAGTATTTTTAGAAGCATACACATCAATATTATGTTGCTCAAAAGAAGATTTGGTAGGTACATGCAAATAAGTTTATGACAATATTTTGTTTATATACTTCTTATAGGAAAATTTTTATGGAAAACCATTAATTATTGCTGACAGAGATCTTGTAGAGCAAGGAGCAGAAGAAATTTTAACAAATGCCGCCAGTTCTGATGTTGCTCTATTAGTGGTAGGAGATCCTTTTGGAGCAACAACTCACACAGATTTTTTATTAAGAGCTAAAGAGAAAAACATTCCTTATAAAGTAATTCATAATGCATCAATTATAAATGCTGTAGGATGTTGTGGACTACAGCTTTACAACTTTGGAGAAACTGTTTCAATTCCCTATTGGGAAGAGAACTGGAAGCCAGATAGTTTTTATGATAAAATTAGAAATAATAGGAAAAATAATATGCACACCCTTTGTTTACTAGATATCAAGGTGAAAGAACCGACGTTAGAATCTCTTACCAAAAAAAAAAAAGAATACATGCCTCCCCGCTTCATGACAGTGGCAGAAGCCTCAAAACAACTCTTAGCTATAATCGAAAGTAAAGGCAACCACAACGAAGAATACGATCTAAAAGGACACTCTTTAGTAATTGGTTTGGCCAGAGTTGGGCACGACAGCCAAGTTATACAATCTTGCCCTCTTAAAGAAATGGCAGACGCCGACTTGGGTAAACCACTCCATTCTCTTGTTATTCCTTCAAGTAAATTGCATCCATTAGAAAATGAATATCTAAAACAGTTTTTGGTCATTTAAAAATTTCTGAAAATACAATTTTATAAAACAGATCAAAATTTTAAAAATTCTTTATTTAATATCAGACTAAAAGCAAAATTATTTTTAAATCAATATGTAGGTTCACCTTAAAAAGGCTCCGATAATTACCTTGCGAAATTAACTAAATTTGATTAGAGCAAGATCAATATTACATTTTCGAATTGTTTGAATTAATTTTTATTTCAAGCGAAACTTACTATCAGTATACTTTCAAATACACCAATTAGAATCTTTCTGACACTTTCCATAAAACCATTTTACCATAAATTCATTCTCTTCACTTAATCCACTGATTTCGTTTTCAATTACATAACTTTGATAGTTCATCTAAAAGTAAATTAAATTTTCCAGATTAAAGTATATACATATAAGTACTTATATGTGTAATTCATGATGAAATTCAATTATAGATTTTAAATGTGAAGTTAGTAAAATTATCTGTAAATAAAATAAATGCGTTATCAAGAAAATAGAATAAAATAAATTCTCTTTTAGAGATAAAATGCAGAATACAATGTAAACCTTGCCCCCTTTCTCTTAAGATATTAAAGTACGTTTCATATTTACAATTGGTTTTGGGAAAATACGTTTTGTGTCAGCTTTATGAATATGCTCTCTGTAAGCATCATGAAGACTTTGTAAACGGCTTTTTGTTAAACAATTCAAACAAAATTTGCATTTGCTTTTACTACAGTTGGATTCACAAGAATTTTTCAAACACTCTTGAACGAAGACAGCTAAATTTTTTTCAGAAGATATCATTAATTCCTCGTCCACAGTTCTAAACAAAGCATGTATATTTGTTTACATATTGTACGAGTATGTACCTAATTAAAATTCAAATTTGAAAAACAGGCACCTACCTCTTTTCAAAGCTATTTCTTTGTACTGGAAGTCCAACTCCAACAAGCTGAAACATGCTGTATAATAATTGCTCATACAGCAAAGAATTTTGTTTAAAATGGGCTGAAGATAAATTGGGACTCATATTTGCTTCCATCAACCAAACTTTCAATTTCTCATCGACAACAAAATCAAATCTCATTAACTCAAAAAAATTTTTTTTGTGTTTATAATTATTTAATATAATTATTATATTTTTTTCCTTTGATAGTATTGTCTGCCTCACAATATCTTCAATTTGATCCCATATAATACTAGGTTCTTCTTTCTTTGATTTAACATATCCATCAAATGAATCTTTCATGCCAAATTTAAAAGAGTTATACAATACTTTTAAAGATGGAACCTTCCAAGAAGGTAAATAATCATCCCCCACCACATATTTTTCCTGGATAGATGAATTAAATGGATAATATTGTTTTGTACAGTATCGAAACAATACATCTCCAGTATAAATATATATTCTTAGAGGATTCACGCTGGTTAAAATCACATAAACTCCAATATCAAATTTGTAACCATCAACTAAATAAGGGCGATCTATAAATTCTTGAATGAAAACTTCATTGGATGATAAATTTATATCCTTCTTTTCTTTAATAAATATATGTCGATGCTCGTTATGTTTTTCAACAAATAGTTTATTTGAGTGTTTCTTCGAATATTCAATAAACTTACTTTTATCTTTTGGTAATCTATACGACTTCGGTTGGAAAGGCAAATTTGTTACCGAAAGATCTACCTTATTTGTTATGAAACCGCAACCGGGAAAGTGATTTACCTAACAATATAAGAAATTACTAAAACAATAAGTAAAAAAAATTAAACAATTTCTATAGAACTCATTTTTACTTTTTGATGAGACTCCAAATTTTTTAACTTTTTAGATAGATTACGAAAGGGAAAATCGTGTGACCATAATAAATCCCAGTTTTCTTGAAGAGGTACTCTTCGTAACCCCAACCTCTTTAAAACACTGAAAATATCTATAACTTCATGTTTATTCAAAATTTTTAATACTACCTTAAAACATGAATTAAATGATCCTCATTTCGGGACTTCCCGTATATAGAAAACGTAGGTTTGGATTCCTTAGTTAAAGCTTCATCGGAGTTCGGGTCTCTGCAAATGCGACAGATTATTTCAGAAAAATTTTGTTTATTAAATAGCTGCAACCATTGAATAATTATCGAACTACAAAAAATTCCGCAAATAAAAAATGTAAATCCCAGTAACTGATGCTTAATCATTTTGACATTACCGAAATAAATAACGAAGAACGCAAAACTTGAATAAAAAATTAAAACAGCGGTCAGCCTTACTAACTATTCGTACCACGGCTGACAGAAATATGTATGTATGTACTTTTGATATTTTTGCTATGTCAAGATGTGTACACATAACGAAAAAAATTCTAGCTGAATTTGTCAATAAGTCTATATATGCTTGTGTAGACCCAGGTTACAAAAGTCATGTCAAAAGTCAATAAATGAAATATTCGAAAGAAGAAGATCGAAAGAAATGTTTTCAACATTCGTTTTTTGAGTTCCTAACTCTCTTGTTTTTTATTTCTAACTATATGCTCCAATTAAGTCAATGCGTGCCGCATATCGTGTACCTTAGGGGACTGAATTCACGAAAGAATGTAATACATGACATAAAAAATAATCATAGTTTAATGACTTTTAAACTTAGGAAAACATATATCCGCTATAAGAGCATATGTGGATTTTATATATAAATAAATAAATTTGTTTAAATATATATATCAGTAACAAAATATATATGTATATAATATATCATAAGTATTACATGAATAAATGGTAATAAATTTGTTAAAATATGATTTCAATATAATGGAAATAATATTAAAAAGAAGAACAAAACAAAATAAATGCCTTTTCTGACACTTGTCAATTTAAGAGACAATATTCGTTCTGTGTTAAGCAGTAATAAACTCCTATATAACTCCTATATAAAGATGTTTGCGAGCAGGATGACAATTAAATGGTAAAATTGATAAACGATACTCGTATTTTCCTTGACATACAGAGTAGTATTCTAAAATATCCACTAAACCGTCAATCGCGATGCTATCGATTATTTAAGATCAAAAATAAAGAAAATATTTTTTTGCATGAAAAATACATAATATATTAAAAATGTCAGATTTAAATGAACCCGGTTCTTCAAACCGAGATACCTCGTTTGAAAACTTTTGTGAAGAGGTATGTATTGTTATACACATTTTTCGTAAAATATTTAAAAGCTGAAAACTTCTAGGTAAAAGAAATAGAAAAGAGAGATTCTGTTTTGACATCAGATCAACAAATTCAAAGGCTATTGCGCCCAGGTTCAACATACTTTAATTTAAATCCATTTGAAGTCCTACAAGTAATTTGATTTGTACACTAATATTCCAAAATATATGTATTTTAAAACTGATTTAGGTAGAACCCGATACACCTTTAGGATTAATAAAAAAAAAATATCGAGCTTTATCAATTTTAGTTCACCCTGATAAAAATCAAGATAAAAAAGAAGCAGCTCAGGCTGCGTTTGACATAGTAACAAGAGCTTGGAAAACTCTAGAAAATGATATAGGAAGGAAAAGATGTCTTGAAATATACGAAGAAGCGAAAGAAAGAACTGATCATATGGTTAATTTATTGATCTCAATCTTTATATAAACAAATATCATAAGGTCTTTCTGTTTTAGATATTAGAAAAAAAGAAAAAACTTAAAAAAGAAGGCAAATTAGCAGAGACAATACCAGAAGATGATCCCGCCAAATATAAACATACAATATATGTTATGGTAATGAAGTTGTTTGCGGATATGGAGCGCAAACGTCAACAACAAGATCAACGCGATATGGAGCAACGTAAAAGAAAACGTGAGGCAGAAATCGAAGAAGAAGAGAAAAAAAAGAAAGAGCGAGAATGGCAGAAAAATTTTGAAGAATCTCGTCAAAGCCGGGTAAATAGTTGGCACGATTTCCAATCTGGAAGTCAAAAAAAGAAGAAAAAAAAAATGACAGGAAGTATGTTTGCTCCACCAAAATTGAAGCCTGAGGCTAGAAATTGAGCTTCACTAAAGTTGATGGTGTATATGTATATATATATATATATATATATATATATATATATATATATTACAATAGAGATAATAATTATAACACCTGCTTATAAAAACAAACATAAATATTACAAAAATTATTTGTGTACTTCAATTTTTTTATAAGAAAAAGAACCATATTTGTATAAATTAAATTTTAGATATAAATAAAGAGACTTAAGCAATTTAGATTTATATGTATATGTATAAAATATTATATTTATTGGTGCTTATGTTAATGCACATAGTTCATATTAAAATATGAAATTTTTTTTTAAATAATCATTTTGTATTTGAAGTATACAGACTTTCTGCAAAAACAATATCACGTTTAATTGCTACCAAAGCTTCTTCCATTTTTTGCTTCAAAATAGAATTCGTCGTGTGACTAATTCGCGAAGCTGCAGTTTTCACATCCTGAATAGTTTCATTTAGCTGCTGAATACATCGTACTATGATTCCCTCCTGAATATCAGTAAGTTCAGTGATCTCCGAAAATGGCTTAAAGGAAATAAATATAAATTCAAATAATTCAATTAAAAAAAACTTTCAAACTAATTTAAATTAACCTTATTTCTTGCCCATTCATATACTACTTCAATTAATCCAAAATTCAGCCGATTTTCTGGTCCTGAATTAACGCCGTTATTTCTCTCTGCATCTTCAATACGTTTGTTGATTTCTTCAAAACGCTTTTTACCCTGAAATTGTTAAATAAATCATTTAATCGGTAGTTTTGCTATAAAAAAATTTACTTCTAGAGAAACAAATACGTAATAATGTGTACGTAATGATGTAGGTGTGAACAAAAATGGTCATATTTCTTAAAATCTTTAAGTTTTAAGTAAAAACTACTTAAAAATGAATTTAAATATTTTTCCTGTACAATTAAGCAAAATCATATTGAATCCTTAAGATTTTGTATGGACTTTACAATTATAGAAAGTTCCTAACATTTAATATCATAAAGCATATGTACATGCACACGTATGTACATACATATCTACAATTTTCATTGCAAACTCGCACTAAAAAACCTCACAAAAAGAATACATCTATTAATTTTAATTAAATGAAGAATTGTGCTCAATTTGTGCCTTTGTTATATAACTTTTAATGTACATATGTATATAATGTATACCCACATATTATTATATTTTATGTTTATATTAAATATATTTATTTTAATACATAAGTATTGCCATAATAGGCTATTCGATGAAGTGAATCAAAGTGAATTGTTAAATGTATTGATACAAAACTGTTAAACAAATTTTATGTTTCATGACGCATGGGGAAAATCCCTAACACAAATCTTACTCTCCAATTAACTAAATTACATCAACGCATATAAATTATTTGTGTATCTATATATGTCTTAATAAGATATTCGATATGTGAAAATAAATAATTATTTATCTGATTATCCATATGATTAAAAACCTTTTGTAACTTAAGTTAATCCGATGACGCCTTTTTGTACGCAAAATATGTACAAATTTACATACACAACATATTGTTAATAAAAGAGTATTTTGAAGTGTGTGGAATGAAAAAATTTTTTTACTTTCTAAATGACATTTAGAAACTTCAGTCATATTTTATAGAATTAAAGCTTATTGTTATTGTATAGCAAATCGAGTTTTTAAATTGCAGCTTATCTGAAAAAACAGTTCTAAGATTTTAAGGATGGCAACACCATTAAGTGCACAACGTACCATACTTACAGTAGTTAAAAGGCTTACAACCCAACAGGTTTATTTTCACGTGTTCAAACCTATTGTAAGAAAATAATTTTTTAAAATTACTGAATATATAAAAAACTTTTATTTGTTTGTTTTTAGAAAGCCAAAATGGCTCAATTAATAGACGGTAAAAAAATTTCTCAAGATTTATGCAAAGAAATGAAATTGGAAATTGAAAGTTGGATTTCTGAAGGGAATCGTAGACCTCAACTAACAGCAATTTTAGTAGGGGATGATCCAGCAAGTTGCATATATGTTCGGAACAAAATGAAAACTGCAGCTGAAGTAGGAATACAAAGCATTACAAAAAATTTGCCAATTAATGTAACACAGGAAGAACTTTTAAGTATTATAGACGAATTGAATGATAACGATTGCGTGGATGGCATTCTTGTACAACTACCCCTTCCTGAACATATAAATGAAAGAACAATTTGCAATGCTGTATCTTGCGATAAAGATGTTGATGGTTTTAATGAGAGAAATGTTGGACGGCTTTGCTTAGATATGAACACTTTAATTCCTTGCACCCCACTGGGCGTCCAGGAATTATTAAAAAGAACAAATATTGAAACATTTGGAAAAAAGGCTGTAGTAGTGGGACGCTCGAAAAATGTTGGTATGCCTATAGCAATGCTTTTACATGTAGATGGTAGGAACGACACATATGGAATGGACGCAACAGTCACAATTTGTCATAGGTTTACACCACCGGATGATTTAAAAATGTACTGTAAGATGGCAGATATAATTATTACAGCAACTGGAAATCCTGGATTAATTAAAGCAGATATGATAAAGCCAGGAGCTTGCATTATTGATGTCGGTATAACAAGAATTACTGACGAAAATGGTAAAGCAAAACTGGTAGGGGATGTAGAATTTGATTCAGTTAAAGAAGTCGCTGGATGGATTACTCCAGTACCCGGTGGTGTTGGTCCAATGACAGTGGCAATGTTAATGCATAACACAATAATTGCAGCAAAAAATTTGGTAAAAAAAAGGAAGCTATAACTTGACACTCTTAATATTAACTATAAAGTATTAAATACAAATGTTTTTTAAAATTTTGTTAATGTTCTAATATTATTTAATATATTAATATTTAATTAAAACACATGTACATAATTTAGATACATGTACATATAATTTTATTGGCTACAACATGAAAATGTATTAAATTTCGTAAAAAATACAAGTTTAAAACTATTTTCGTTCTATTTATTCGCAAACATATTTGAAACAAAAAAAGCAACCAGCCCATTAGTAACGTATTATAGTCTACTTGTGAACATTATGGTCAAAAAATCAAAAGTACAATTAACATGTAAATGGTAGAACACCTACACTAAGCGCGTCAAGTCTTTAAAATTATCCCACAATTTTAATTTCATTGAAATGGATGAATGAACGGACGCGGTTCGGCAATCTTTAATACGTACCCAGATACACATTTTAATACGTACACATATTATATACACCAAAGAACAGATTATGCAGCCTAATTGCAAGAAGAAAGTTAATATACTATACTAAAAACTATACTAAATTGCTTTAATAATCATAAAGAGCTATAAAAATGTTAAGACTTAATATCATCTATATCGTAGTTTCTAATTTTATGAGTTTTTTAATTGAAATTATAAACTTTAAGTCCAGTCTTATCTTCTAGCTTTGAAAATTTTTAGGAAATATTTGTATTTAGTATAAATAATAATATTATATAATATGAATGTATATTTATGTATGTATTCTAACAATTTAAAATGAAAATACGCACTAACCTCTTTGAGTTTTTCATTTATTTTATATTCCGTGTTGGTTTTAGCTTGAAAAACAAGTCCAGATAGTAGGGCGGCAATCTCAGCTGGTTCTAAATCCTCAAAACTATTTGAATATATTAATTCCATTACAAAAAGCTCATTTTGACCCATTTCACATGCTATTTTTCCTTTCAGAAGTACTTTTTCATTCTTATCAACATAACCAAGCTCTTTCAATACCTTTAATTTATAACTGTAATCATCATATAGAGTCAAACTTTTTGGAGAACTGCGAAACTTTAGTTCATCCACCTCCATTTCAAGATTTTTTTTTTCGAACACAGTTTTAAAATCAGATTTGAAATTTGCAATGCTCGTGTAAGGTAAAATTTCACGCAAGTTCTTCTTTGATGTATTAAATTCTCTCCACAAATATTCGTCTTCTTCCTCAATATTCAAACTAAATCCTTTTTTCAAGTCCATAGTTTGCAAAGAATTTGGATTTGATATATAACTTTCATTCAATTGATTTAATTCAGTTACAGCTTTAAGCACTGACTGGCCTGGAGGTGAATCTTTAAAACGCTCAATTTGTCGTTGCTCCCAATTTTTAATTATTAAATCAGGCTCGACTTTTATTAGACTTTTCGTTATATCTGTTACGTGTTCAAATTTAATTTCTAGAATTCTGTGGCCCCCAGCTCCTACGGGTCGAAAAAATTGCATTTCTTTTGTCAAAGAAATCATTTTATGCCAAAGTTCGTTTCCAGTTGTTTCTTGATTTTCAATTTCTTGATTATCTAATATAAGAACTTTTATAGTGTTTTTCAAATTATCAGACCCAGTTATCTTTAAACTTAAGACTATCGCTAATTTATTGTAATGATTTTCAAACGAAATGATAATTACTCTGCCAGTTTTAATTTCTTTCAAGTAGTTTGGAGAACTTAATAATTTTTTCATAAACTTTTCTCTTATTTCCAAAAACCTGCGAGCACAGTCAAAAAAGCTCTCAAGTGGTTGCAAACTGTTATCCAAGTTCTTTATTTTAGAGAGTTCTTCTTCTTTTGCTTTTAACAACTCAGTAATAGTAACTAATTGTTTTTTATATTTGAATTCTTTAAAACAGTGCTTCATTAAGTCTTCCACTTGTATGTTATCCACACATAAACATCTAAGAATAGCTGCATAACGCAATCTAAACTTAGAGGACAATGAATCGGCTTTCCCTAAGATCATTCGCTGTAATTCAATTTCTGAAGGTAACTGTTGTTTGCATACTAATATGACAGTCCCAACCTCATTTCTTCGTCGGCCCGCTCTTCCTGCCATTTGTGTGTACTCAGACGGCTTCAAAAATCTTAGTTCTTGCCCATCATGTTTTTTGAAAGAATCAAATACCACTGATTTAGCCGGCATATTAACTCCCATTGCAAATGTTTCTGTAGCAAATAATACTTTAACCCAACCCTCCTGAAAAGCCATTTCGACAATTTCTTTTAATATTGGTAAAATGCCGCTATGATGAATACCAATCCCGCGTTCCAATGACGTTTTGATTAAGTTAACTTGAGATAAATTGCGATCTTCTGGTTTCAATTTTGACATACAATATTTTTGAAAATAATTGTGAACTGCAGATTTTTCTTTTGCGGTATTTAAATCCTTACTACGTAATGCAAGAGCATTGAAATCGCAACGATTTCTTGATAATGTAAAAACAATTACTGGTAGCATATTTTTCTTCTGCAAATGATTTATAAGGTTATCCCACTGTGACCAATTTTTCGAATTTTTTTTTTCAAACTCGGCTTTTAATTCTCTAAAGGTTTCTACCCGAAATCTATTATCTGAATCAACTATCAAATGCATATTTTCTTTTTTTTTTCCTCCACTATCTAAATACAAATAATGTTCTAAAGCAATTGGACGCTTTAAAGTGGTTATAACATAAACTTTCCTTTTTTTAGTCATTCCAACCCACTCGGCCAATTCTATGAAATTTGAAACAGTTGCACTTAACATAATTATATTTACATTTTCTGGTAGTAACATTATCACCTCTTCCCAAACGTGCCCCCGATCTGGGTCATTAATGTAATGAATTTCATCAAAAATAACATATTCTATATCTCGCGTAGTTTCAGTTCCATTGAATAACATTGAACGCAGGATTTCTGTCGTCATGATAAGGCAAGATGCTTTGGGTTCAATTTGCCAATCACCTGTCAGCAAACCAACATCTTTAAAATTTTCGCGAAACTCGCGATATTTTTGATTTGACAGTGCTTTGATGGGGGACGTATATATAACTTTGGTGCCATGTTTCAAAGAAAGAGCTATGGCATACTCAGCAATAGCAGTTTTTCCTAAAATACATACATAAGTTTAAGTATTAAAATTATTTATATCTTCCTTACAAAAAAAACTATGGGTTCACAAATTTACCAGCAGAAGTGTGAGCTGCAACAAAAACATATTCATGCTCCTCCAACTTTATAATAGCTTGTTTTTGAAAATTATCTAATTCAAAATCGAATGTTTTAGCCATGTCATAAATCTTTTCTTTGAAATTTGTAACTGGTTTACTAGTATCTATTATTTCTGCCCATTCACTGGAAAACAGTTTTTCCCTGGAATATTGCGAAATTGGAAGAACTGGACTAGATTCTACCGTCTCTAGTAGGTGCTCATCTTCTTGCGTTGTATGAAATACTACCGATTCTTCATTTTTTCTGTTTTCTACATTATCGTTATCTTCAATGGAATCCATCCATTCATCAATAGAGTCCCTCCATTTTTCTAAAGCTTCTAGAAGATCTACCTTATTTTCTTCTCTATTATCTAATGGTGTGTCATTTTCAAATGTGTAACCATTGATAAATCCAGGCGGAGTAACTAGTCTAGGTTTCTCATCAAAATCAACGTCATTTCCACAAATTGTGTCGGGATCCGTTAATGGTTCATCAAAACCACCAGGCCAAAATGGAAAATTCATTGGGTTTCCTCTAATAGTTTCTTCAGGATTAGGAGCTCTCTTGAAAGACATCGAATTTTTCGCATTGGCATCTGCATGGCTTATGACTTTTTCAACAAAATCAGTTATTTCTCCTGTTAAATAATTTCTTTTTGCTTTTAAAGTAGAGCTTGCCGGACTTTTTGTTACGTTCAGTAGTAAATTTTGATTTGGTGTCCTAGAAATAATTTCCAAATCGGATTGCTTCAAGAATACATCGGGTAAGGTAATGTAGTTACGGAGACGTTTCTTTTGATCTTCGATGAAAGGATTCATTTTAAATGTAGATTAGAATAATAAATAATAACCCTACACTTCAACACATCTCGTTCAAAGTTGCCAGATTACCTGAGTAAATACAGTTTGAATGTTCCAGTGTCAACTTGGAAAATTGTTTATATTTGCAATAACGACAACAATGACAGATATTCGCGCAACTATTGCGATAGGATTAGCACACATCTAGAGTATAACTTATCTTTTTGTTTCATTTCATAAGAGTAATCTAAAGTTATACATTTAGACCTCTTCAAAATCCACAAAATTTAAACATCCACGTTTATGTTGCATTGAATAGGTGGTATTTCCAGGAGGAAGTAACTGGAATAAAATATTTACGTATCATTTTCGATCACTTAAATTGACGTTGTAATGTTAAAAAATTAAACATAAATTAAGTTTTTTAACGGCGTAATATTTAAATTCAGAAATAAAATTTTTACTCCAATATGAAATTTAAATAATTTTATAGTATTACGCACTTGTCAATTTGGCCGAAAATCCGAACGAAATAATTTTTACTCTATAATCAACTACAAACAAGAAAAATTTTCGATTTCCTCTTATGTAATTGTAAGTAAATTTCTTTTTTTTGTCAAGCCATTGCGGTTTTGCACATGTATTATTAAAATGAAACGTTTGGATTGGTTAAAAAATATTGTCCGATCGTCCAATCACACGGGTGTCTCTGATGCACTTGATGAACTTGAAAAATAAAATTTTTAGAAAATATAAAGTTTAAAGCATATTTTTTCATATAAAATTTTTCATATACCTGTAAGGGGAATTGTCAAGATGAATTAGATACATTGTGTCTAATTCATAAATTATTAAATGATACATATGGCTCACACAAAAATATAAATTTTATACGTATGTAGATAATTTTAATACGAGTCAAAGAAATAAAAAAAGATCAAATAGGATGAGTGTTTACTTACAATTCGATGACTATCAATATTTTTTTGGGTCTTAACATTGACATTACATTAAAAATCAATTCCGTCAGCCGTGGTCTTAACTGAGGAAAAAACAAAATCGGACCCAAAATGTAAAAGGAGGAGTCGGGAACATAAATTTTCAAATCGGAGCTAAACGATCGCCTTATTTTGATCGCTCTGAACTGCAAAACGAAAACCGTTTTTTATTTTCAACAGTAAATCTGCTCTGATGTAATAAATGAAAACGCCAAATTATTACATTTTTACTGCATTTTTTATTACGAATTAGATATTTTATCACAATTTAGGGTTTGCTATGTAAATACACATGTAGGTTATTTTAATATAACTGAGCTTTCATTGTTATAACTTATAATTAACAGTTTGTATACACACATACAATTAAACTTATAATAATTCCTATAATATCAACAAGATGATAAATTTTTTAAAATTATTCGCATAAATAAATGGACTTAAACAAAAAAAAGCAAATATGTTTTCATAGCAATTTTTTTTATGTACTGTGCAAAGTAACATGTTAAGATAAAATTCTGTTGTAAAAATTATACTCTTGATTTTTTTTATAAATTTAAAGACTGATGGTTACTCTTTTAACATACAAAAAATCTGTCAGCCGTGGCTACTCTCTACAAAAGTATCATCAGACCACTAACATATTACAGTCAATTCCTATAGTTTCTCATAAAGAATTATAATAAAACTGAATTAACTGCCTTGTACCTTTATTTTCAACTGATCTTTTCTTTAAACATTTCCTTATGAAAGTTAATTTTATTTGCAATTTGCTCTTTTCTGCATAATCCAAAAATATGCCGTTGGGAATAAAAATTTCAACCAGTAAGCCAGTTTGGCTGTTTTTTGGGCAAATATAACATCTTTCTCATCTTTTAAAATAGATAAAAATATATAATTGGCCATAACACTAGGATGTGTACCATTTGCTGTACTGTCGTCCATTTCTGCAATAAAAGTTACATAAATAAATTTAAAAGTTGATGTAGATACATAGATATTCTATATGAAAATCATTTTTTAAATTAAAGTTTATTTTGATTTTGTTGAAGCACACACGTTGCTCAATAAGTCAATACATATATAAAATAGAAACTTAAGGTTTTAGTCAGGAAATTCGTGAACCTTAAGATTCATTATGATCATCATACTGTAGGTTATTACTATATTTCTATTAGTTTTATAAAATCTTTATATTTATTGCAAAGAAGAAAAACAATTTATATATTTTTCTTTTTAACATAATAATGTAAGTACATAAGTGATAATTTCCTTATATAGGATTTTAAATTGCATTATGGCATCTACGATGCAAAACTTTTTTCATTCTTATTTAGATGACATAGATGACAAAAAATGATTTTCCTAATAATAATCAATAACCATTAATAATTTTGAAATCTTACGTCCGTATTTACTTCCATCGCCGGTTAGAGCATTATTTGAAAGAGAGGTTTTTATATATCCTGGACTTATACAAGTAACTTTAATGTTATACTTAACAACTTCTGCCCGTAGAGAATCGCTGAAGGCTTGTATGGCATGTTTTGATGCACAATAAGCAGATCGAAAAGGCAATGCAAACTTTCCTTGAACACTGCTAACAAAAACGATCCTCCCCTCAGTGTTTTGAATCATTGATGGCAGAACAGCTTATAATTGTTTAATTTCAGTTTAATACTTTCACAATTTTATATTTAAGTGTACCTTTCGTTAATGCAACAGATCCTAAAAAATTGGTTGTCATTATTTTGTTATAAACTTCCATACTTGTAGACAGAACGTCCCCACGGACGCTGATTCCACCATTATTGACTAATAAGTCAATGCGATTATGTCTTTCGACAACCTTATTTATAATTTCAGGTATGCCACTAAGATCTTCTAAATCTAATACCACTAAATCTGGAACACATGTTGGACCTTCCTTTAAAAATGCAAAATTAGTACTCTAAAAATTATTATCAATATATTCAATATACATATTCCCATGTCTAGCAATATAAACATAAAAACAGAAATACAAAAGTTTACTTATAATGAAGATTAGATAACTGCTATACAATTAACATACCACTTTAAGAGCTAGTAAATCCTTGTAAACCCGTTTCAACTCTAATTCACGTCTGGCAGCTAAAATTACTTTACAACCAGCTCTATAAAAAGTATGAGATAAGGCTTCACCTAATCCGGAACTCGCACCTGTTATCAATACAACTTTTGCCACCATCGATTTCCTTCTTTTCTTAACCAATAAGTTTAGTACAACTTTTTTAATCAAAGGAGCTCCAATTAGAGCGAATATTATCCCCAAGAATGGTAAATCTGCAAATCTAAAAAAAAATTACAAATTTATATCTTTAACAATATAGTTCCTATTACTTCCAAACTTTATTTTCTGAAAGATATCCGCTCGTCAAAATCATCATAAAAAATTGGAAATCAAAATGTAAATATTTTATAACTAACTACTTGCATTAATAGATTAAACTATCAAAGATATCATATATTTATATATGTATATACTATATATCAATTATCTATAACCTATTTCCGAAAATGAAGATGAAAATAAAACTAAAAGACGTCAAATAGATAGTATAAAAATTCACAAGATCTACATAAGTTTTTTTTAAATGTGACGTCATCGCGTAGAAACGTAAAAAGGAATTTACAACTTTGTTACCATTTTTAGCTCTCTCTTATGTAAAAAAAAGAGCATGAAACTATTTTTGAAAGCAATTCTGTCTAATGTAAAAAATTCGAAAAAACAAAAACGTTCAAAGAAACCATAATTCTGTTAATTAATTAAACAAAAGTCGATGTTTTATTTTAAATATAAGTTTGCTTAATTGCATCCGATTCTATTTACAAAGCAATACGATATTCGATAGTAGCCTACTTCAAATTGTAATGACTACAAAACAATACATTCCTACAACCAGTTTTAAAAAAGAAACGTTTGCCACATACATTATTTTATTTTTTATTAAATTTTTTAAAATTTTCGATTAACACTTCAAAAAACAAGGTTTTACTGACAAAATTTCTACTTCGTACTTTCAAAAAATTTTGTTTTTTATTTGCAAAGTTTCTTCTACCATAAAATTTCTTAAATGCCATAAAGCATTGATAACAGCTTCAGGATTTTGCTTAGCTGCGGAGCCAAACCAGTTCATAATTTCTTTAGGAGGTTCTATATTTTGTGTTAAATGAGTAGGTTGCAAAGTTTTTTCCCATGAAGAAGCATTTGATGTGTTGTTTTGCAAACCCTCTATGTATTTAATATAAGCTTCAGAATGTAAAACTCTTTGTGGCCTGGGTGGAACACTGACAAACATTGGTTCTGGGGGATTAGTAGTAAGTTGCGTATTTTGAACAACAGATGGAGACGAATGCAGTATCTGATTAGTTACAAAATTGTTGCTCATATTCGTAGTTCCATTGCTTATTTGAACTGATGATATTTTTTTTTGAACAAAATTCTTACTTCGGTCGTTGGGCGACAAAATCCTACCACCTTTATTCAAATGAACTTCTCTCACATGTCTGATTAAACGCAATAAATGAGGAAAAGCTGGCATATTTTTTCTCAAACGAATACAATTTTTCCAAAAACAATGATACTCTATTGGAGACTCTGATTCTACTTTAGAATAGTGCGTATATACGTGTCCAGTGCTTTCAGCTAAACAATGCTCCATACAATCTGTCAAATCTTCAAATTGAAAATCACATTTGTTCCAAAGGCATTCATAAACTTGATTGATTGTTTCCCCCGGAATGGGACTTGAACAATTTTCATTTTCTTCAGCTTCCTGTTTACCTAAAAGTAGTCTTTTCTCTTCATTTATTTTAACAGCTTTATCTTCCCATGATTGCTTAATATGTGCTGGTAAATTTTTCCAGTCATTAGCAATCATTCTAGAAATATCTCCAAAACTAGCATCACGATTATTTTGGCATATAGCTTTTCTTACCTCACCAGAATAAAGAATATAACCCGTGAATTTAGATTTATTTGGTTGTTTTAATTTCTTTTTGGTTGTGTTTGGAGTCGAAGCAATCGATAAAGCTGGAGAAGATGATATTTGCACATCAGAATTAACAGAAGGTGATCCTCCATCAGTAGAGTCGTCAAATGTATCAAGCCCATCGCCAGTTTCTATTTTATCTACTTTTTCACTTTTTACTACACCTTTTTGCAATTTAATGGTTTCTCTAAAATAAAAAATTTCGTCTAAAGTAACAGAAGGATTATGTTTATATTTTTTTAATCCTGCGGAATTTGGAAGTTTCTTTATACATTTCCTAGATTCATCATAAATATTCTCGCATATGAAAACATCACATTCAGGAATTTCTGTTGGCCTCTGTTTCATATATTCTGCTACTTCTAATACAGCACATTTTCCAACAATGGCAATAGTCGGATTTTTATCCTGAACGGTAGAAAGGAATATCTCTTGCCTATTGAATGTTCTATTTATGTTCGGTGTAATTTCATTTGGCAAAATTAGCCACGGTCCTTGAAAATATGATTCGCCTTCTGGTGTTTCCCAAATTGTATGAATCTGAGCAATAGACTGTTTACCAGATTGCGTTGCAACATAAACGAAATCTCCTGTTTTTACAGCTCCACCACATGCCGTATTATACTGTTCGTAATAGACATAGCCTTCGCTTACATTGTTCATAGGGAATATGACATTTGGTTTTTCTTTTTCAATTAGAGCCTCCTGCAACTGTAACTCTGCTAATTCACCTTTATGTTTCTCAATTCTTTCCTTAAATACAGACATAACTCTCTTTAGCTCAATAACTTTTTCTCTTAAAGTAAACTTAATTTTGTCGTTATCTCTTACAAATGCCCAATTTTTAATTTTTTTAAATGAACGCAATCTCATACTATATCGGGACTCACACACATACACATCTTTATCCTGATAACCTTCTGGTTTAAAACGGATAAAATCCTTAACACTCATAACATAACATTTATTTTGTACTTTATCAATAGGGATTGCTAAATGTTGATCACTTTTAAAAACTTCTCGCTCTAAAAATTTTCTTGTGGTTACATGATACGTTTCATGAGGTCGAAAAAAAATATTTCCTTGCATCATTTTTACATTATTCACATCAGTGTATAGTCTTTCAATATATGCAATTCCTGGTAGTTGATTATCAGGAGTATCAAAATACACAAAATCTCCCGGTGAAAATACTTTCTGATCAATAGTCATACTTTCTCCTTGTGTAGCAGCTGTGTCTGGTTCTTCCAGATCTTGTTCTTCCAACATTGATTTCGATTGTCGTATAGCTTCTACAGTTTCATTTAAGTGGCTAATTTTATAATTTAAAGCAGGAGAACTTAGAACTCCTTTACATAATTCATCTCTTTTATTGATAAAAAAAGTTTGCAATTCAATGGAATCTTCAAAAACTTGAGAATCTGTTCGTGAAAGTTTCCTTCCTCTCTCTAGACACAAAAATACATCTTCTTGAAAGGTATCAAGCCTCTTATAGAGACCCTTGTCTAACCTTCGTTTTATTAAATCTAAAGAAATACCCCTGACTTTGTTTAAATTTACATCATCATATTCTGGTAGTTCTGCTAGTGAATCGGAATAACAACGGCCTTCTTCATCTTGATGGTTATAAAGTGCTGTAAACAAAGAAATTAATAGTTCTTGAACAGCCAACTGGACATCTGGAACACGTTCATCTCTTTCGCGTAAGCTCTGCTTTGTTTGGATTGTAATCTGTTGTAGTATTAAAGCATCTTTATAAATTTGCGAATCAGGCTCATTGTATTTACACGCATTTTCGAACATTAGCATAAAATCGGCAGCTAGATCATCTACGTTCTCATAAGACTGTTGTCTAAGTTTTTGCGCTATTTTTTCCATGTCCACAGGATTCTTAATAATGTCATAATAATCTGGGTAATCATTTTTCGATGGTAACTTCATAAAAATAACTGACAGTTGACGATTACCTTTTGGTTCATGATAATCTCGAATAGTATCATAAAATTGCCATAATTTTGAATCCATTTGAGAAACAAATTTCCTAACCGTCTTTGTAATTTTCGGTGTCAGTTTTTTTTCAATAAATCCAAAATGTTCTCTTAATTTTTCATTTAGAACTTTTTCAAGAATATTTGCATCTTCGAAAATCATTGAGCCCTCCTCATTATACTTTCTGCAATTAGAAAACATTAAGCGGTAATCTGCTACAACCTCGTCTAACGTTGCGTACTTATCACTCCTTAAATTATTTTCAATAGTATTCATATCGATTGGATGTAATATTACGTCATAATAATCTGGATATAGTTTTTTAGATGGTTTTTCCATAAAAAGTAACATGGGCTGACGATCGCTAATAGTATACTCTTCTAAATATTTTTGAATATTAAGAAGTTTTTTCTTCATTGCGAAATTTATAGTTTGAGTTTTAAATTTTGGCGATGTATTTGCTGGATTTGATGCAATTGTTGATATTGAAGGAGTAGACATGGTTGCAGCAGAAGACAGCCTTGGTCTTCCTTTTTTCTTAGGTGGAGTATCCAAAACATCAGTGTCATTTGAATCGGTGTTTTCTTGTTCTAGACCTTCATCGATCAATTTATTATTCATAATTTTCAGCATTTTTAAAGCATCTTTATGAATTCGATGTGTAGGCGGAAAAGCTTTTTTAGCATTATCTATCATAAGATAAAGGTCGGCAGTCATGTCAGAAATATTTACATACTCTCCCTTTTTGAGTTTATTTTGTATTTGAGCCATAGATATTGGTTTTTTAATTAGTTCATAGTATTCTGGTCTAAATCTTCTATGAGGAAGCTTCCAGAGAGATTGTCCTAAGGGAGCTCCAGTAACATTGGGGTTGTCTGATGAACTGGCATAATTGTATAAATAATCAAAAAGTTGCCACATAGGTCCTTCACCTTTCTTTTCTTCATCTTCATCATCATCTGTAGAACTCTCTGGTTCATCTTTTAAAGCTGCAACAGTTGCGCTATACGATAAACCCCTTTTTTTAGACAAAGATTTTATTTTACCTGTTTCAATATCAGTTTTTCTTGCGGTAAAAATTTTTTTTAAAGTTTTTGCGTCTTTATAAATTTGAGAACCCGGTTCATTAAAAACGCATGCATTTTTTACCATTTGTAATAAATCTTTTTCCATCTCTGATAAGTTAGAATATGCGTTTGTCTGGATTTTATTAGCAACTAATTTTAAATCAATTGGATGCTCAACAACATCATAATACTCTGGGTAAACTTTCTTTGATGGTAAGAGCTGAAATTGAATATTCAATGGTCGGCCATCTAACGGATCACTTGCAGTCATAACAGCAGCAAAAAGTTCTTCGTACGGATCAAAATCTTCCTCTAATTTAGCCGTTTCGCCATCGCTTGCTATGGATCGTCTTGGCTGTCTACCAATTCTTTTGCGTGGCTCATCATCTCCACAATTAGATTCTAAAATTTTAGTTTTGTTCGTTAAAAATAAATCCCACAAAGTGCAAGCATCAGAATACTCAGTGGAACCAGGCTTATAAAATGCTTTAGCGTTTTTTATGAGTAAATCAAAATCACTCGTCAGTTCTTCTACATCATCATATGAATCTGTTTTCAGCTTTTGTTGCACTCGCAATAAATCAATTGGATTTGCAACAACCTCATAATACGCAGGTTCTTGTCTCCTTTTAGGCGCTCTTATAAATGTGTCACATAACATTGAATTATCATCCTTTTTAATATTTCTTATGGAATCATAAATAAGTTGACATAATTCAGATGCATCAGGTCTTTTTCTTTTTCTTCCAACAGTAATGACAGGAGATAGTTCCGGTGCCGAATCGTCAGCTATGTCTTCATCTTGCCGACTTGCAACAGAGCTTGCACGTTTTCTTTTACTTAGCATGAAGGTAAAATTAATTAAAATTGGCACTCGATTGTAAATATTTTTATCTGTAATATTTTTTCAAATACCAATTTTGCTTCTTAAAAAATTTAAATAAAATTTCTCTAGTCTTTACAATAATTGTATACATATACTATTTTGCCGCAATTGAGTTAGCAACAAAGCATTGACATTTGCGATAGCTATAGACAAACAATTCATATACTCTAAGCACAATAAGGTTGCACTAAAAAATTTGAAAACTACGAAAAAAACAAGTTTAAAACTACTACCCACACTAAATTGAATGCGTTGTCTTATACGATGTCACATCAATTTTGCTAAAAGAGAAAACCATCAAAAATGTAATTTTATTAATACTAATAAAACAGAAAAATATTGAATTTGGACTTTGTCTAAAATAAAAATTCTTATAGTTTTATAATGCTTCCAAAAGAACACTTGCAAAAATTTACTCACTTCAAACTGTCAATTTTTTTAAGGGTTCAGGTCTGCATTTCTATTCAATGAGATCCGTGGGGTTAAAGGTTAGAAAAATTTCTAACTCAACAGAAGCGTCAAATTTGACATTCCCTATGTTTTTAAATTTTGATTTTCCAAACTTTCCAAAATTTTAATGTATTACTTTATTGATAATAATTTTCCGTTCGCGAAAAGATTTACGTATTTATATTTAGATCCATAGGAATATAATTGAGGAAGAAGCTAAAAAACCAAAAGTGGCATTTTACTTTTAAACTATTTTTAAGATTTTATGGAAAACAAGAGTTGTTCTTCGTGTTTTTGTGCAATTACAAATAAAAATCGGTTAATAATAGAAAGCTGTGGGCATACAAAATGTAGAAGTTGTTTCATTAACGAGGAAAGTTCTTGTAAACAATGTATAGTCATAAATTCTGAAATAAAAGTTGTTGAAAATATTGTAATATCCCCCGAGTTAAGCCAGCCCGAGTCAAAAAGCAAAACTTTAAAGCAACATATTGTCAATATTGGGGATCAGTATAAATGTACTATATGTGATAAAATATTCCGTAGCAGACAGCAACAGTACTATCATCTACATTGTGACAAACCAGAAGAATCAAGACCATTCAAATGTGGTGAATGTTTCAGAGTATGCATTATTCAATTTATTTAGCGTTTAAGTTTCTGATTGCAATTTTCTAGGGTTTTTCAAAAGCAGGTCACTTGAAATATCATTTAAAGACACACTCTGTTGAAAAATCTATTTGCAGTCTATGTAAAAAGGAGTTTTCTAATAAAGCTACTCTCGATAAACATCTGATGAGGCACAAATATCAGAAAAAATATGTATGTCGAACTTGTCAAGCAGAATATAAGGATGAAAATTCTTTTAAATTTCATTTAAATTCTCATGATGATTCGTCTATAAATCGTTTTTCTTGTAATATATGTAATAAAATATTCTTTATAAGGTCGCAACTAAAAAGGCATACTGTAATTCATAAGAAAGGTAGGTACCTAATTACTCAAATGTTTTTCGAATTCAAATTACATGTTAATTTACACAGATCGCGCTAAATTATTTGAATGTAACATCTGTGACTCAAAATTTTTTCGAGCTTCCTCATTAAAGAATCATATTGTGAAACACAATTATATGAATAAATTTAAATGTGATACTTGTTGCAAACAATTTACTGAAGAAAAAGCGTTAAGGAGGCATATGGCTTTGCATGATAGTAAATTGAATTTAAATAAAATTTCTATTAACTTATTTCTTTTTTTTTTAAGGTGTAATCGGGTACCAATGTGGTATATGCGATACAAAATTAAATCGCAAAGATAACTTAATAAGGCATGTTAGAAATATGCATCCTGATTGCAATATAAAAATAACTTCAGATGCAATTTTAAAAACAAAATGCGTTAAAAACTTAGAAAATTCTGCCATTAAAACAAAGAAAAAAGAAAACAAAATGGAAACTTCCACTGTTGCAATAAATGAAAAGGAGGGCAGTTTTAACTTAAAATCGACAAACTCATCATTAAATTGTGCAGAAAATATAGAAATAGAAAAAAAATATATACAGTGTTCAGTTATAAAATCCATAGGAAACGCAAGACCATTAGATGTAGTTTTATCACCAAGAAATATTGATAAAAGCCACCAAAAAACTACTCTGCCCATAAATTCGATAAATATTTCTGTATTGGCTAATAAAAAACTTAAAAAAAAATATGATCCCACCGAAATTTATAGAAAAATATTATTTGTAAATAATGATGACATGTCTACATCGGGTAAATGTAATATTACAATACAACCGAATGATAATAATGTTAAACAAGATTATAAAATGGATACGAAAGAAACCAATCCAAATGATGATGCAACTTATCCCAACTTCGTTGAAAAGCACTGGAGAAAAAATTTTTATAGTTGATTTTTGCTCTTTGATATTAAAGTCAAAGTTTTAATGAAATTTGGGAACTGAATTCGCATTATATATTATTAATTTTCTTCTTTCTATCATTATGTACATACATATGTACACATTTTGCTACAAAATATATAAAACAATTTAATAAAAAATTATATTTTGTTTTTCTCTTGAGAAATTTTTTTATTTCAATTTTACAGGAGTTGGTTAAACACGATTTATGCCTTAAACATTTTTTCTATTTACTTGAACATGGAACTTGCAAGAGGGGAGATTTCCTACTTCAGCCGTGACCGTACTGGATATACCAAGATTCGCTAAACTTCCTCTTATAAGACCACATGTAAAAGCTACATACTGAAAGTGTTTTGAACAGTTTACATTAGTTTGCTGACATAAAATTATTTATTTTACCTTTGGTGCATGTTCCAATTTACAAGATGATAATCTGGTTAAAAATCTAAAGGAATTATCTTGTAACACGTACACGCCATGATGATTTGTTCTAAGGTTGTCTATTTGCTTTTTGTAAATGACAGTCCAAAAATCAGTGCAAATAAACTTCATTGCCTCAAGCTCGTCAAATCGTGGTACTTCCCTAGTTAAGCGCTCTATTAGTCGAAATCCAGTTGTGAATCCAATGCTATCTAGTATCGTTAAATCTTTCTGATTCTATATGTGTAAGAAAAACTCAAATTTTTTCATAAAATATATCGAAAATATTTATCTTACTTTACTTTTAAATTGAGAATAGTTTACAATTTCGGAATGTAAATATTCAAAAATACTATCACTAGACATTGCGGCAACGAAAAAATTATGATATTTTAAATTTTGTGTATATTAATTATGACTTGAAAATTTGATGTTTACACTTAACAATAACAATATGTTAATAGCAATTCATTATTCAGTCTCTCGTGTGTCAAAGTAAGAGAGTGTGACACAGTGACATCAGAAACCACGGCTGACAGACAGTCTAAATTAAAATCTAAAAAATTTTTTTTAACTTTTTTTTTAGCCGTGTATTCTAGACTAAAAAATATATCACCCAATTTTTTTTTATTTTGTATATTACCACTTTTACTCTCAATTTTTTCAGATATGTTGCTTGACATGGCCGTACAAAAAAATATGGAAAAAACTCGAAAATATATTTAATCAAAATTATAGTTAAAATTTTGATTTGAAGTTTGAATTTTTGACATGCTAAGAAAACTTCAAATTTCTGTTAGAATAAAAATTTTTAAGTTTTAGAAAATTGTCAAAAATCATCATCTTTTTCAAAAAAACATGATGGAATTTATCAATTTATCAGATGGGGGTCAGATTTTACGTCTTCAACAAAATGTTTTTTTGCTTTTTTGAGTGCATATAGCACAACTTGAATATGATCTTGTAGAATTGGATGAATCTACTCGGATGTAAAGAACGAAAACGCTCACATAAGATAGGACAGATAAAGAGTTTTTAAACTATATTTAACGTTGGTTAACTATAAATTTGAGAAGTAAAAACTTGCAATAATTGGCAGCTCTGAATAAAAATTAAACTTGTCCAATGAAGTATTGGATAAATGAAATGCCAATAAAAAACGTCAAAGTCAGGAGTTTTTGGAATTGTTTTGATTTTTGTGAAAATAATTTATTTAATTTAGATTAGTTTAATTTAAAGTAAAAATAATATTTTGAAAATACGTAGTTCCTTAGTTTTGTTAAGTTGACTTATTTATTTTTAGATGAACATTGATAAAGTTATCAATGCAAAAAATGAAATCGCTGTGTATGAACAGGGAGAAGATTGTAGGGAGAGACTAAGAAGAACTCCAGAAATAAATACACCGTCTAGGAAAATTTCATCATCTAGAATAATAAATGCATTTTCTCAATTTTATAATGGGAGTATGATTAATTCTACAAATGAAGAAGGAGATGGGGTATCGCCTTCTGGGCGCACTCCAACAAGAGGAATGGAGACCAAACTTATGTCAATGTGGCACAATGTAAAATATGGTTGGAGCGGTAAAATTCGTTCAAATTTTTCAAAAGAGCAGCCCATTTGGCTACTTGGTAGATGTTATCATCGAAAATCTACACCTAACTCCTCAATGGAAAATTCAGCAGAATTTTCAAATCAAATTGAAAATAGAACAAACGATGGAGGACCGGAAGAAACAGTAATACAAGAATTTGGCATGGATGTTATGGAAAGTGAAAATAGCGAAAACCCTTGGGAAGAAGGGATTGAAGGGTTTCGGAAAGATTTTTTTAGCAGACTTTGGATGACATACAGAAGAGAGTTTCAAACTATGAATGGTTCCGATTACACTTCTGATTGTGGGTGGGGTTGTATGCTTAGAAGTGGACAAATGCTTTTAGCTCAAGGTTTAGTGTGTCATTTCCTAGGCAGAAGTTGGCGTTGGGATCCCGAAACTCAGATAAATACTACATATGAGGATCATATGCACAGAAAAATTATACGTTGGTTCGGTGATAGTTCATCAAAAAATAACCCATTTTCAATTCATACGTTATGCAGTTTAGGTCAAGAGATGGGAAAAAAACCTGGAGACTGGTACGGTCCCTCTTCAGTATCACATCTTTTAAGGTATTTCAAATGATATATTTTTTTAAATTCTGAATTTTATGATATTGAATTTTTTAGACAAGCTGTTGACCAAGCAAGGCAAGAAAACGCTGATTTCGATAACTTAGTTTTATATGTCGCAAAAGATTGCACAAGTAATTAAAATTAATTGAAAAAATTTATAGACATAAACAAAAAATTTTGAATTTTTCAGTATACATACAAGATGTATTAGATCAATGTCTAGTCCCAGATAAACATGTGTATCCAAACGTTCCTTGGCAAACATCGAAAAATAATTTTCCAGCAAAAAATGTAGCGTCATCCAGCTCTAATGCATCCCAATTACACTGGAAATCTTTAATTATTCTAGTTCCTTTAAGATTGGGGGCAGAAAAATTAAATGCTGTCTACGCACATTGCTTGAAATTGCTACTTAGTGTTGAGCATTGTATTGGTATAATCGGCGGAAGACCAAAACATTCTTTATATTTTATAGGTTTTCAAGGTATTACAAATTATATAGAAAATTTTAGTGCACAATTTTCAATTAATTTTCATATAAAATTTGCTAAACATATATGGTGGGATCATTAACTTTTTTTTCCCTTATTTTTAGAAGATAAAATGATTCATTTGGACCCACATTACTGTCAAGAAGTAGTAGATGTTAGTCAAGACAATTTTCCAGCAAATTCTTTTCATTGCAAGTCTCCTAGGAAATTAAAGGCCTCAAAAATGGATCCTAGTTGTTGTGTAGGGTTTTATTGCCAAACAAAATCAGATTTCGATAATTTTATTACAAGTGTTCAACCGGTAAGTTATTATATAAAAATAAAAACCACAAAAGGAGTGTGTACATAAAATAATTCTTTTTTAATTTTTTTTTTAATGCAGTACTTACATCCATTTAGATTTGCGTCAAATATAGAAAGACTTCAAACTGATGAAAATTCTATACCAAACAGTATTGATGTAAATTATCCTATTTTTTCATTTTCTAAAGGAAAAAGTTGTGAACAAGAAAAAAATAGCCCACCAGAATCTGTATATAAACCTTTGCAAGAACAATTAGCTCAATTGAGACTAGAATTATGCACTGATGATGATGACAATGATGAAACCGAAGAATTCGTTATTCTGTAACAATTTAGTTTTGAACGAGAAATAAAATAATATTTAACTGTAATCGAATATTAGATAAGAAATTTATATAAAATAATATAAAACAAAATGTATTGTATCGTGATAATGTTTTATTTATAAGAATAGAATAAGCTAACAAATAAATAGCTATAGTATGCGAGTGTATGTTCTGTATAAAACTGTTTTGTTTTCGATCTCTTTATTGTAATTCTCACTGTAATGTATTCTAAAAATAAATAATAAGTATTATTTATGATCAATCTTAAACTAATAATTGTTGACTAAATTTTGTTTATACTTTAATAAATACGAAATTATACTTGTATTCCAAATAACACTTTTACCCAGTTACCAAACCCTTAACAGAAATTTCAATAGTCCAATTGATTAAAATATAACGTTGAATAACTTGAAATTAACTAGTGGAGTATTTTGAAAATGCGGAAATATTAATTATTTCCGTTACTGTTATAAAATTATTGTTATTAACTATTAATAAAACTTTAAATCCTATTTGTATATACACTAAGGGCCAGCTAAATAAGACACCGCAATTTTTTAAAATTAAAACAGGAAATTTTAATATTTACCACCGTGCTAAAGAGTAGAGCTGGTTGCAAGACTCATTTTTCCGGCAACACACGTAGCATTTACCGTCGCTACAGACTCTATTAAACTTACTTTCATCAGTCCATAATATATTTTTCGACCAGGGTCGAAATTTGGCTCTTACTAGTACCTTTTTCAAACATACTCCAACTTAACCGCCTTTAATCTGGAGTTCAGTGTTTTCCTCTCCCCATTTTCCTTTTTTATGAATACTTCCACAATATTTCTTAGCAATATTTATTTCTTATTATAGAAGCTCTAAAATTCGAAAAATTCAATAATTGTTAGCTTTTACTTTCGAAAATTATTAAAATAATTGCTACTTTTGCACACTGTCTTATTTAAATGTCCATAGTATAATTGAACCAGTACATTTAAGGCGTCTGTTATATCGAAAACAAAAATTCCCGTTATCTGTAAAACTTTTTTTTTAAATTCTGTAAGCTATCATCAAAAAAATATATAACCAATGTTTTTGCAATTCTGAGAGAGGGAGGCAGTATGTTCCAAAAGATTAATATTAGCTAGAGTGTCTTATTTAGCTATTCACCAGTGTACATATGTACATATTCTTATTGAGGATTTACTTTAAGTCTTTAATACAAAATAAACAATATTCCGTACTTAATACAAATTTTGTATTTTCGTTACACTTTATTTTGTAATTTATACGAAATTAAATTTGTCGAAATATACATACATATGTACATTTTCTAGATTGAAGCAAAATTGATCAAGATCTTTTTTGATCTTAGAAGCACATACATAACTCATGTACTACATATGTATGTACTTGTCCCTGAATATATAATTTCAATATTTCAAAATATTTTTTGGTTCTCTAAGAATCTTATTTTACACTTACAGATAATATTATATACATATGTACATATATATGTTATGTGTACAAATGCTTAAATATATTTTAGTATGCAGTATAATATATGTACAATTTTATCATTTTAAATTATGTACGTAAATAATTTTAGCCAGCGTGATACGCATTTTTGCTATTGAAGTTGTTAAAATATTTTCGATTACCTTTAGTTATCATGCTAAAATCAGATTGTTTGCAGAATATAGTTAGATTATTAGGATGCAACAGGTAACTCAGTAAAAATTCAAAACGATTCATGCGTATTTAGACATGAATAAAATTCGAGAGTCGACAAAAATTCGATATTCATTGTGCGTCAAATATTATTTGGGTATCGATTTTTCATGGCAATAATGGTACTTTTTGTAAAGCTTTAGTTTCGAAAATTGAAAATGCATTTAAAATATAATATAAATATAATTTTTATGGTTTTTCTAATCTTACAAGAAGCTTGTAAGTAAAATTTGTTGAAATTCGATTATATTTTAAAATATTTATTTTTTCTCACGATAGCAACATTGCACAAAAGCTTAAGGCATTATGAAACAATTCACGCAGATCAAATTCAACACAAAATTATTAAAAGAGGCACAAAACATAGCTCTCACCCTTATAACGTGATAAAAGAAATCGAATTTAAAGTACTTGGAAAAAATTTTCGCTTAATTTTAAATCCTCATAGAGAAGTTCTTCATAGTAATTTTCGAGCTTATTCAGTTGACAAAGATGGTAATGAAACTATAGTTCATTTAGGTATGGAAAAATATAATTTTAATACATTTTTATAACGTTGATTCCATTAAAAATTATATAAATTATTTTAGATCATACAAATTTTTATGCTGGTAGGGTTTTTGGCGCATTGAATTCGTCTGTTCGAGCTCATATTGAAGACGGTTTAGTGACTGGATCCATTGTGTTAGATGATGAAACGTATCACATTGAAGTATGTATAAAATGCATTCATTAAATTTTTTGAAAAGATACTTATTTTTCTTAAATTTTGAGGAAAAATAACACAAAAATATAACTCTATTTTAAAATATTTTTTAAGAATTTTAACCCTTGTGAACTTTTTATTGGATTTTTTTCCGAGCTATGTAACGTGGTCATTAATTTTTAATACTGTTCAAAATTATTCTTATAATAAGCGTTTGAATAAATTATACATATTTTATTTTATGTAACATTTTACCTATTGTAAAATATTTGAATATTTTATTAATATTTTTTCGAGGCTGAAAATTCTCTTTTTCAGATTAAAAATATTTTTTTCAATCAAATACATTTTTGTACGATTTTTTTTGGATATTATTAACGCCGACCACTTTAATTTATAAAATTTATTTTAACAGTATGATTTTAATTTATAAAATTTAAGATTTTATTATTTCAAACACAAAAAGTTTCATTTAATAAAAATTTACAATGTATAAATAACAAATATTATGAAGTTCAAAAGTAAAACAAATTTCTAAATTAATAGCCGTCTTGGAGGCATTTCCCGCATTTGAGCGAACAAACTATGGTGGCTTATAAAATTTCGGATGTAAAGACAATTTGGAATAAAGATCATAAACATGTTGAAGAGATACAAGACGCGCCTATGACCTGTGGCTATATAAAAGAAGGATTAGGTACTAATTATTGTTGTAATTTTATTTTGTAATAAACAGTATTTATTCAACTCTTTAAGAAATTGACCAACCAGGTGACGAAGACGATGATCTTTTTGATGAATTCATTTTTGAAGAAGATGATGATGTAGCACAAAATTTAAATTACACAATAAATTATACAGCAAATTTTCTAAAACGTAGAAAACGTCAAGCTGATACATATGAATATACCCCAACAAAGACACGATGCCCACTGTTATTAGTAGCAGATTATAGATTTTTTCAGGAAATGGGCGGAGGGAATACAAAAACTACAATAAACTATCTAGTATGAAAATTAATGATTTTTAAAGTTTATTTTATGTTATATGAATATAAGTACAAAAAATTCTTTTTCAATTTAGATAAGTTTAATTGATCGGGTACACAAAATATATAACGACACAATTTGGCAAGACAGATCGGTAATTATACACGACAAAATAAGTTTACAATAAATTTACCTATTTTAATCTTTTCGCATGCTAGGATACTGAAGGTTTTAAAGGAATGGGATTTGTCATAAAAAAAATTGTTGTTCATTCTGAACCCACCCGTGTAAGAGGAGGTGAGGCGCATTATAACATGATCCGTGAAAAGTGGGACGTCCGCAATCTTTTAGAAGTAAAATTTGTATAAATATTATTATTCTATTATACACAATCCTTAATATTTTTAACGAATTTTAAAGGTTTTTTCAAGAGAGTACAGCCACAAAGATTTTTGTCTTGCTCATTTATTTACTGATCTAAAGTTTGAAGGTGGAATATTAGGTTTGGCTTACGTTGGTTCACCAAGAAGAAATTCAGTTGGAGGAATATGCACTCCAGGTTCAAAAACATATTTTAATTTTAATTTATGTTTATTAATATAATATATTCATACACATTTAGATATAAATAAAAAATGTGTCTATTGTTACTGCTTTGCATAGAATTTTTATATGCATATAAACTTGAATTGTTATTAATTTTTCTTTCAGCAAGGCCTTTTTTTTTCATTTCATAATTTTTATGAATTAAGTAACTGTAAATTAATTATTTTTAGAATACTTTAAGAATGGATACACACTATATTTGAATTCGGGGTTAAGCAGTTCACGAAATCATTACGGTCAAAGAGTGATTACGAGAGAAGCAGATTTAGTAACAGCTCATGAATTTGGCCATAATTGGGGATCGGAACATGATCCTGATATACCAGAATGTTCACCTAGTGCTTCTCAAGGCGGTAGTTTTCTAATGTATACATATTCAGTCAGCGGTTATGATGTTAATAATAAAGTAATTATGCTTATGATTAGCTTCAATTAGAAAAAAAAAATAACAATATATATGTACATAACAATTTTTTTTAAGAAATTTTCACCGTGCTCTTTGAGATCTATTAGAAAGGTTCTCCAAGCAAAATCTGGTAGATGCTTTTCGGAGCCGGAGGAATCATTCTGTGGAAATTTACGTGTAGAAGGTGTCATAGTTTCAAAATTTTCTGTTTGTATTTTTAGTACATTTTAATTTTCTAAAGGCGATGAACAATGTGATGCTGGTTTACTAGGAACTGAAGATAATGATGCTTGCTGTGATAAAAATTGTAAACTTCGACGAGCACAAGGTGCTGTTTGTAGTGATAAAAATTCTCCATGTTGCCAAAACTGCCAATTTATGCCTGTAGGACATAAATGTCGTGAAGCACAATATGCAACGTGTGAACAAGAAGCTCGATGTACGGGTGCACATGCGGAGTGCCCCAAATCTCCACCAAGTATTTAAATGTGTTTCTGTCTATTAAATTAACTAATAAATATTTGTTTTCAGTGGCGGATGGCACCGTGTGCCAAGAAAAAGGACAATGTCGTAATGGTAAATGTGTACCATATTGCGAAACACAAGGATTGCAAAGTTGTATGTGTGACATCATATTAGATGCATGCAAGAGGTATTTTGCATAGAAAATTTTGATTAAAAAAATTCAAGTGCAAAAGTAAATTTATAATATTCAATGGTTCCAGGTGTTGTCGTATGAGTATAAATGAGACATGTTTTCCAGTTGAACCACCAGATGTACTACCAGATGGTATTAAGATGTTATTAATAACTTTTAAGAACACTATGTAATTTTAATTTTATTCAATAGGCACACCTTGTATCCAAGGGTTTTGTAACAAAGTAAATTTCTGTTTGTTTTGTAAGTTAAAGTAAAAATTTAATAATATTCGTAAAATGTTTAAGGGTGTTTGTGAAAAAACAATTCAAGATGTAGTCGAGAGATTTTGGGATATTATAGAAGAAATCAATATAAACAAAGTATTAAGATTTTTGAAAGACAACATTGTCAGTATGTTAACAAATTTGATTTTTAAAATGCATAAATATATACGTAAAATTATTTTATTTAAGTGGCTATTGTCGTACTTACTTCAATATTTTGGATACCAGCCAGTTGTGTGGTTTCATATTTCGATCGCAAGAAAATGAGGAGAGAGATGAAAAATATAGATTGGTGTCAAAAATTAGATCTAATACACCCGAATGACCGACGGAGGGTTATACATATAAGGTATTTCATAGTTGAAATTTTGTATTAATATTAAAAGAAAATTTTTCTAGAGTTCCGCGGCAGAAAATCCCAATGAACAAGCTTATATAACTGTGCAATCAACCATAGATTTAAGTATTATGTTCTTGTGTTCATATTAAATTTTAAATAACGGCATTTTATCAATAAAAAAAAATTTTAAAAGGATTTTTTTTTTTGTAAAAGTTTTGGAAGATAAAATTTATTACTGAATCAATGTCAGTACATCATTTTTTTACATTCTATTTGTTTTTGATTTATGATTGAAAAAATAATACATATTTCACTTTTTCACATACATATCTGATTAATTTTGAGTTTACAAAGCTGCTTATAGTACAAATGTTTTTTTTTATTTTATTTTCTTTTTGAATCTTTTCCATTTGTTTGAACTCCTTGTTCTTCTTCATCCATATCACCTAAAAAAACAAATTTTTTATCAATTATTGCTTACATAATATTTTATTGCATATTAAACTTTTATTAAACTCTTAATCAGATGAAAATTATTGACAAAAGAATAAACAAAATTTATTCAAATGGTTTTTTAGTATTTTCGGCCATAGAATGCTTTGTATAAGAAAATGTGTTTTGCATAATATAATTTGTAAATAAATATTTATACATTTCCAATTTTTTCGAAATAATTTACGTATGTAAGTACTCTGGACATTTTAAGTATATAAATTCTGCCAATAATTTCTCTACAATACGGAATATTTATAAATTAAAATATTAGTGAAACCCCTATGATTGAACTGATGGTTTTTTTAAAGTAATACCAATGTAATATATGTATGTAATAACTTATTTTAACAGAGATTGCAAGATTTTCCAAATGAGGGAGAAATTCCATTCAGCGCTAAATTTCTCCGTTTTATAAAGACGTTTTCTATATTAATTTAATGGAATGCATACAATGTGTTATTTATGTATGTAGGTACATTTATAAATTGCATCACAAGAACTTTTATTAACATAGTAGCTAAATTAAGTTGAAAGTTTTTAGTAGATAGACCTACAAAATTTTTAGCATAAACAAATTCAAAACTACACGCATATACATATGTAACTCTTATTCTTTTAAATGTTTTTCAATAAAAGCAAGGTAATCGCGTTCTTATGAATCTTATTATTCTTATTAATTTTATTATTTATGAAAGATTTAGGAACCTATACACAGTTATGTACCTACCATAACATTAAACGTTTTAAAAACTGTTTAATACCTTACATCTTTTGTTGACGCCGCTTCTTACATTATATTTTATAAGTATAAAAAAATACGTTCTTACCTTCCTCCTCTTCTTCATACAAGCCTTGACCATCCACAACATCAGCTTCGCTTACAACATGCTGTCCATGCATATAAACTGGGCCTTTTCCTTGAATCAATTTAAACGTAACGGACGAATTTGGAAATTCTAAATTTGGTTTTAAGATCCTAGTTTCCCCGGCCTTAAGAACAGCAATTGGAATTTTTAGATCGTCTTTTTCAACCTAATTAAATGCAACATTAGAAATTAAATTTTAAATTAAGTATTTGTTGAAAAAGACGAATCTGCTTACTTGAACTACATTAAATTCACCTTCCGCCGCTTCTGCTCCTAAGACAATTTGTCTAATAATGAGTTTCTCAAGCACCACTAATTTTGTGAGATCCATTAAAAATAATAATCAACAAAAATATTTAAACCTGCAATAAGGTAGGTAAAACTTACCTTCATCTTCATTCTGCAATTCAAATTGTGCTACAGAATCAGTTTCACTCAATGTTACGGCTAAGAATATAAAAGAGTAAAGTTAATAAATTATATTTTAATGTCATTAATTTGTTTGAAGAGTTAACATTAGAATAAAACTCATTAACGTTATATTGGAGGTACATACATACATTTAGGAAGCAGATTATCTTTAAAATTATTTTACTTTTAAGTATGTTCTTTTATAAACGTGAATCGTAATGGTTCATTTTCATGATCAAGGTCACAATAAATAAAATAAACCAAAGTATGTACATACAATGTTCATAAGATGGATACATATATATGTACATATGCAGAGTTTGTGTAAATATACTTATACGTATGTATGTGCATATAGTTTATTGCATACAAAACAAGCATTTTAAGCGTTTGTATCCTTCCAAACATCAGTTTCTAAGAATATTTAATGAAAGATGTATGTATGTAACAAATTTTGTAGTATTTAGAGGTTAGGTTGCGACATAAATTGAATCATCTACTTACAAATTTTGCATATAAACGAATAAAAAGATATTAATATCATATTATGGACATATTAAAAAACTTTAGAATTAAAATTATGCGTAGATCAATTTTAAAGAATCAACCGGCAAATTTAGTCACACATTTTAACACTTACCATAGAAAGTTTCTGTATCCCCCATATTTTTTTTAGAAAACGTATTTTACAAAAAGTACCGGATTAAAATTTTAATGTACACCGCGTGTATTTATTTATTAAAAAATTAACCAAATCCTTTTTAAAAAACTTCAATATCACCACAAAGATCTAAAAAGGAGATAAAGAGTAGTAATAGTTCCATACAATGTAGGTGTGTATTTCAGGGTTGAAAATTTCAAAATATTTTTTTAGACGCTTTGAATTTATGAAACGCTCTGCTTTAATTTTGTGATGTTTAGTCTCGCTTCCAAAAAATCCACTAATGTTTTGAAGAAAAAATAGTTTTAGCTCTGTAGTTTATTTAGAATGCTGAGCATGTGCTCATAAGCATTTTGTATATATTTATATTTTTTTCCTTAAAGTCAAACGAAAAAGTACTTAACATCTTATATTTTAAATTCTAGCATTTGTATTTAAAAAAAATACGAACTTTTTCAATTTCTGAAAGTTAATATCTGGACGGAAAACGAAGATTAGTTTGTTCGCAAAAGCAATGAAGCCTGTGCCAAACATTGACATTAAAAATGCCTTGTGAGCACAACTGTTCACTAATAATGCAACGTTTAGATGTACTGAATGTTTTGCACGCCTATAGATTAAAGATTTATTTTTCTTATAGAGTTAAAATTTAAAAACAAATTTATGGAAGTTTTGCCAATGGTAGAAATTTTTAATCAAATGAATTAAAAATTTCAAAGTTTTTAAATTTTGAGGGTTAAGAATTTAAGAATTGCTTTTTGTTTTTCTGGTATAGTTTAATACCTATGAGTCGTCGCGTAAACACAACTATTTATGTTATTACATCTAATAAAAGTTGGGAGTCATATTTTATTGTATTGTGAACTTATTTTACATTCACCATACAGGACATGAAGTGAATCAGAAATGTCTTTATTCCAATTTCAACGCCGATATCTATCTTTCTCTTTCTTTGAGTTGGTGTTGTCAGTTTTGCCGGTTCAATATTCACCTTTTTTAATAGATGACAATTTGGTGAAGAAGTAAAATTTTGTCAGACATTTTCAATAAATCATCTTTAAAAAATTTGCTTAGTAGAAATAATCCACATAAAAAACATAAATCATCATGTCTGAGGAATCATTTTATGGTAAATAATATAAAACTTGTTACAAACTATTGATTGTTTATACTCTATTTTGAGAATGAATATTAAATAAGCTTTATTTAAGGAAAAAGTTCGTATACATTTTTAAGATGTTTTTTTTGTTTTAGGCGTTACATTAAAAGGAAAAGACGATACCGTAGAATGGGATGTTTTGTCTAATGATGCAGATTATCCTAGAGGACAGAAATTGATAATTAAACAAATTTTGTTAGGGGCGGAAGCAGCAGAGGGAGAATTCAATGTAGTTGAGGTATGTAATATAAAGTTTGATTATGAATATACATATGTACATACATATTTACATATGCATATTATTTGCGTTATCTGCATGTTTATTAGAACTTTTAAAAAATTTTATTCAAAGTAACTTTAATGGCGGAATAATGAAATAATTAAAAATTAGAACATTCAAAAACCATCCATAATACAGAATTAATTATAGGGTATGTGCCTTTTGATGGGTCCTACCTTGTTATATATACACCTATTTTGTATGTATGTAGATAACCTATATGTATAAAATACACAATAAGAGTATACAAAATATACCCCTTTCTAACTATGTAGGGTTTTTTTTTTTTAAATTAATGAAATTGGAGTAGCATCATATAAGTAAGAAAAATTTATCATCCGGAATAGCTGTATATGTACGTAATTTGGATAGGAAATTTTCCAAACTTAGTGCCTATGTATTAAAATAAAATTTAAATTAATTTAGGTAATATGTACATGTGTACGTATATAAAATTTCGAGTGAAATTTTTATTACAAATTTTTTTTTACAAAACTAACCATTAAACAATTGTTTTTTTTTTAATAAAACCATAGATGTGTGTAAGGATTAGGTCCATGAGTTTTCGTCGAATAAAATTCAAGTCTAAGATAAGGTTTATCGTATATTAATATCAACTCTGACCGTTCATTTCATCAAAAAATTGTATGTAATATTTCTCCAGGTAACCGGGTAAAAAGTATAAAAACTGACAATTACGTGGTTGAACATAAATTAAATATATTGTACTCCACATGGGAAAAACATTTTTTTATTCAAAAGGCCTTTCCTAAATTTCAATCAATCTGTATCTTTATGATTGAAATTTAGGAAAGGCCTTTAAATAAACGAATTTCAAATAATGCCCGCATTTGTACTACGATGCATGAAATTATTTTTTTCACTTCTTCTTCATTTCTTTTTGTCAATAGGGCTTTAATTAACGTATTAAAAAAATGCAGGGGAAAAAATAAATAAGTTACGAAACAACAGCCAAAAGCCGTGGATTGCATCTTGCATATATACCTGCATTCATAAATCATAACAAAAATTGTATTATGTTAAAATATGTGAGGTACAAAAAAAAATTCGTTATTTTATTACTATTTTAGTAAAAGTTTGTGAAACTACACATATAAAAAAATTTTTAGATTTAAAACAAACTCATTTTTATTTCTTAATAAGTATGTATTCATATATTTTCTTAAACCGTAATTTGTTCTGTTTTTTCATTATAAATTCCGTCTATTACACTTGCAGCAGTTTTTCCGCATCGTATACTTGGTTCAATTTCTTTCTTAAATCGGTATAATACACCTGCGGTTTCAATTTTCCAATTCCAAAAAATAAGTCCACAATTCAATTCTTTTAGATCTTCCCTTGCCGAAACTAAATTCTAAAAATACAAAATAATAATATATTGTACAATTTCAATAATTTAGTATTAAATAGTACCATTGCTGCAGTAGAATCTATAAAATTCACTCCCTCGCCATTTAATATCACATATTTACACTTATTTTGAATAACAGCCTTTACAATTTGACTTTTAACATATTCGCCTGATGCATATAATAAATTTTCACTGATAACAATAACAAGACATTCTTCATCCAATATCTTCAAAAAATTAATTTCAATAAATTTATTAAAATGATAATTTAAAATTGTATTATTTGAATACCTTGTCTTTCGATATTTTCAACACTGGCCTTGCACTTTTAAATAATATTAAAAACATGTTGACCCCTATTCCAATTATCATACCATAATCTAAACTAAAAAATAGGCAAGATATCATTGTGACAACAAATGGTATGCAATCAATTTCTAAAAATGAATAGATACATATTTTTATGGGGCTTTTTTTAAAGAGTGCAATTTTCAATTACAAAAATCTTACTTTTTGCTCTCCATATTTCAGAAATAACTTCAACATCAACCATATGTATCATTGCTGCTATGATTATAGCTGCTAAAGAAGCTTTGGGTATATAATAAAAAGTTTGGGTTAATAATGCCAACGCCAATAATATTAGAGTACCGGTTACTGCGCCACCTAAGGGTGTTCTTACACCACTTGCATTATTTACTGCGGTTCTTGTAAAAGAACCAGTGATTGGCATTGAATGGAAAAATGAACTGGCAAAATTACAAAGCCCAAGAGCAATCATTTCTTGAGATGCATCAATTATTTTACCTTTAGCTATTCAAATAAAAAAAAAACAAAACATTAAAAATGAAATATTCAAATTATTACATAAGAATGAATTTCAATAATTTTTAAATCCATATATTTTAAATAAGCATTTAAAAATTACCAAATGCTTTTGCAATAGCTATACTTTCGAGTATTGCTATTAGCGGTATTATAACTACTGATGAGCTTAATTCACGCAAAACTTCAGGAAACGTTAGGGTGGTTCCATTAATAGTAGTTGTAAAAGGTGGTATCTTGGGTACTGGCAAACCAGGTTTTATACTACCAGTTAATCTAAAAGGTTTGAAATCATCTGTTGTTAAAAGATATGCTACTAAAATTCCAACAAATACCGCCAATGCATTTCTAGATAACGATATATATTTATAAACACCACGAAGACGTCCTTTTAAATCCTTAAATTTCTGAAAGTAAATGAAATTGAAAGAAAATTGTTTTATAATGATGATTTTTTAAGACATGTGTATTTACCCTCAATATTAATAAAGCTATTAAAGTTCCTACTCCTAGTAAGGAATCATACAATGAAACTTTCGTAATATTAAGGAAAAAATTTTCCCATGATGCTATAAATTCATTAGAAGGACCTATAATGTACTTATTATTAATATTTTTAAAATTTTATTAAGTTCATATTTATAAAATTTAAAAGTTTATGATTAAATTAACTTACTTGCTAGCCCAAATAATGAATTTATTTGTCCGCTTCCTATTGTTATGGCGGCAGCTGTCGTAAAACCAGTTGTAACTGGAACTGATATAAATTGTACTAAAAATCCTAAATTAAAGATACCGCATAAAAATACTATTATTCCAGTTAAAAAACATAAAAGTACTGCAAAGTCTGGACTACTTTCAACATATTTAGCGACCATTAAAGCCATTATTGCTGTCGGACCTATAGGAAGAATAAAATATTACAAATTATTAAAAACGATAAATTAAAAAAACTTAAAAAACAAAATAAATGTAACATAGTTTAATTGACAGTTATTTTAGTTTATAAAAACTGTATTTTGAGATGGTAGAAAATATTTTTCTGAAAAAATTTTAAAAAGAAATGATAAGAGTTTAATCTTTAATCAATAATAATATTAATTCTCAAAATAAAAATTATATTTCTCTTACCTACTGTAATATCTTTTGATGTTCCAAAGAAAATATAAACAAAACATCCCATAAATGCTGCATATAATCCGTATTCGGGGCCCAAACGAGCAACGACACCGTATGCGATTCCTATATATAAAATATGTTTATATACATACATGATATACCGATACATGATAATATATAAAAATATATTTTATTTGATAAATTGTTAGAAAAAAATATACCTTGTGGTATAGCAGTTAAGCCAACTGTTAAACCTGCTACAAAATCCATTGTACCATCACTAATTATTTTATATTTGGGTAACCATTTTATTATTGGAAATTTATCGTAAAAAAACTGTTTACTACATGTTTTCTCAACTTTCCGTTTAAGTATAAAACTACCATCACATAATTGTTCTTTATAAATTTCATCTATGAGAAAAATACAAAAAAAAAAAAAACAAATTATAATTAAAAAACCAAAAATAAAAAAGGATGAGGATTTTATGGAAAACAGCTCACCTGATAAATTTTCATTCATATTGAATAGAGAAAAATTGAAAACAAAATTTTCTCTTCAGTCTCTGAATAACAAAAAAATAATGATGACTAAATTTCAATTTTACCTTTATTTTATGTTTGCCGATTTAAAGCTTCCTATTCAAAATTATATAATAAATTAAATGATCGCACTTTTTAAATAATTTATATTATCATTCGTTTTTTTTTTCTAACACTAAGGTAAAATAAAAAAAAAATAGTGCTTTTATTTTTAACGTAGTTTTAGGTTTACGATGACAAATAACACTTTTTTTAATTTAATTAGAAGTATTAATAGATAATTGAACTTAAATGAAATTATGATCATTTGAATAGTTGTTAGCTTTATGCTTGAATAAATTTTTAACCCATTCATACATACATAGTTACATGTGTTTTATGTACTTTTATTAAAATGAGAGAAATTTTAGTTGAACTCCTAAAAATATATTTTCAGAAATATTATGAAATATAATTTCAGAAATAAGTTTTTTTTCCATAATTCGCATGTATTTTTTTGGGAATTACAAGTTTTCTTTAAAGTATATTTATGCTTATTTATAATAAATTATAAGTAATAAGAATAACTGAGTTATAAAAGGGTTAAATATTCGAAATTATTCATTAGTTTCATGTAAAGATTAAAAAAAAAGGAACTAGAATATTTTTACAAACATTTTAATAATTAGAACATTTAGTAAATTTTAAAAAATAAAAAATGGCTATAATCGTTTAACTTTATACAAAGCTCTTGTTACTATAGGATAAAATATTTATTCTGGGACTAGAATTTCAAAAAAAAATTAAACATTTTCAAAGATTTGAATAGAAATTAGACAATGTAATGTGAAAATTTTGTTTGGTTGAAAAAAGTTGACATCGTAAATTACAAAAAATGATCCGTTTTTGCTAATTTTCTTGATAATATTTTGTTGGTGTGGGATGATCGAAAAAATATTAAAAGCTCTAGTACTGTTAAGATTTCAAAACCAAAAATAGGTTTTGTAAAACGAAAATAATAAAAAATAAAATTGCTTATGTTTAACGCATAATTTTTTCCTTTTTCTGGATGTATATAATAATAATATGTGTATATAATAATATATACTTGAAGGATTATTATTATTGTATTTGTAAAATTAGAATCAAAATCCAAGTTACGTTCTAAATTATAAAACTCAATAATAAAAAGAAATTTGTAAAATTTTTTTTGTAATGGTTTTTCTATTCAAAAATAGATGTCGCAATCATATTGAGAAAATTTTTACATTGTATTTTGAATTCTTAAATTATTTTCATATGTGCCCGCATAATAGAAAAATAAAATTATAAAATGCTTATGTTAAGTTTCTTAAATTTGAAAAGAATTTTCGAAATTTTAGAAATGTGAACTCAAAAATTCTAAATAAAAATCGATATAAAAACTTTTATATGATTTTCAACTTAGTAATTCAAAAGAGAAATGATTCTAGCACACCTCTTGCGAAATGAATTTTTACAATTTTAAGTTTTGAGTTAGAGATACCAAATTATTTGCTTTTTCTTAAAGAATATTATACCAAAACCACAGAATTCTCTCTCTACATTAAAATTCAATATTAACGAATCTATAAAGATTCTTCGTGTACGCATTAAAAACTAATCTTTAAAAAAAAATTAAAGAAAATAATTCATAGATTTTACATTTAAATTAATTTTTATAATTTGTTTTGTAATTTTTTCTTTTTTATTTCAATTATCATATTGGTGTTATTAAAAAATATTCTTATTTTGGTTTAATAGTTTAAATTTGTTTAGTAAACAAAATTCATATGCGTATACATACTAAGTCTTTTATAGATTTTGTGTTAGACAGAATTTTACAATAAAAAAAAAATATAAATATTATTTTATCCTCATGTTGACTTCCTTAAGTGCCGGTTGAACAATTTTTTAAAATTTTATTGTTTATAAAATTTTTAATTTCTTGTTTTTTTTTTTGCAATTTTTATTGTACGTCGTGTTTTTTTTATGAATTAAAAAAAAAGTTATTTCCGTTGTGTTCCAACAAAAAAATAAAATAAGAAAAGGGAAAAAACAAGTCATTATTATTATAATCATAAATTGATATAAATTTAATAACAATTAAGAAAAGTGTGAACTGTTGTTTTAATTAATTTATAATTAACACCTTTAATAAATTTATTTGTATATTTATTTTTAAATTTGCTAAAGGTTTAAGCATTTAGCGTCTTCATTTTCACTTTTTTTTTTTTCGGTTTTGGTGAAATGCTTTTCATATGTCATTCACAAAATGTATGTAAACTTTTTTAAAATTTAAAATTTATAATTAATTAAATATGTTTTTTTTTTTTGCAAGTAATTATATAATAAGAGTTATTTTTAATATAAAAAATTAAAATTGTTAAAAATTTTCTATAAATATTTCTGTATTTTTTTGTTTTTTTTTTTAATATGACGTAAATTTTTCAAAAAAATATATCAGATTATTATTATCAAGATAAGAAATTGAGAAGATGAATTTTTTTCTTCTTTTTAATTTTAATTACGTCTTTAACTTAATAATTACAATTAAATTTCAATTTCGATTATTGCTAACTAACTAATTATAAATATTTTAATATTGGTACTCATAATTATTGGAATATTTCCAATTATGTATGATTATCAAAACAAAATTTAAAGTGCTTTAATTATGTTATTGAACTGAAATTGATTAGCTTTGATTTTGAAATATGATTATCATATATATTTTTTTTTTTTTTAAATAACATGCGAGTGGATTATTAATATTTTTTTATTGATTAGAGAAAAAAATGTTTTAAATATACCGGACACTTAAAATACTTAAATTTTTTTTAAAAGGCCCTGCTCGTATACATGTATTTATATAATATATAAATACATTAATTTTTAATCAGTATAATGATGGTTTTGTTTTTGTTGATTTTACTTATATATTAAGTATGTGAGGTTTATTTGAAAGAAATTCTTTCAATTAAATTTTGAAATATTTCTATGTTATTCGCGTTATATAGATTATTTTTCTTATATAAATTGCAAAGATATTTGAATATAAATATTGGACATTTCCATAAATGCAGTTATATGAATAATTAATTTTGAAAATGACTTAAGTTTATTTGCAAGTTCAACTTTATTTGCAAGCAATGAATAATATTTTTATAGAATTTAAATTGAAATTTATGTTGTCTGATAGGAAAATAAAATATTCCGTAAAACAAATAGCCGAGTTAACCGAATTTTTATTTATTTTTTTATACCCAAATGGAGTAATATTTAATATTTAATTAAAATAGATTTAAAGTCTCTTTCAAAATAAAACCATTCATAATATTCATATAAATATTCATAAACAAATGTTGCTAATATAATTTGTTTGTAAACACTGCTAAATTTTTGTAATATTATGTATACTGAAATTATTATTAAGTGACAGATTTAAATTATATTAATTATATTTGATTTTATATCAGAATAGTTATTGAATATATTTTATATTCATGACGTTATATTTTGAAGTGATTATTTTGCAGTATTGTGTTGATGAAAATTTTTAAAAGTAAAATTACAAAATATTTAAGAATAATCATCGATATCGTGTGTTCTGCAGTACGAAATACGTTGATAATATTTATAAATAAAATTTAAATTAAAAATTTAATTTTGCAATATAAAAAATTTCCGAACTTTTCTATTAATGTAATTAAGTAGTGATTTGAAGAAAAAAAAAATAGAATCTTTCACATATTTAAATGATGTTCGATTTTTTTTTCTTAGAAAAATATATGCACTTATATTTAATATACAATTATACTATATGTAATTAATTTCAGAAAATTTAAATAAATTTTTTTGTATACGGTATACACGGTATATATATATAAAATTTATTAGCAGAATAAATGAGTTTTAAATTTATAAATACAATTTTTATTGTTTTACATGAAATCGTATAATGATTCTTTTTCAGTATATTCAAAGATTCTCGTAATTGTAAAGTTAATAAAATTAAAGTTTGTAATTAATTTATGAAATAAGCTTTTATTTGACGTACATACTCGTAAGCGTAATTAATGTTAAATTAACAATAATTAAAAATAAAAATTCGAAAATTAAAATAACTTTTTTTTTGTCAAAGAAAACATTACTTGTTTTTGCATATTAATCATGCAATTATATCCGAATTCTAACGCATTGCTCAAATATGAATTAAAATGCCGCTATTTTAATTTTAATTGTGTCCAATGATTTGTTTTTTAATCCAAATTTACTACTAAATTCATATTAATTATAATTATATTATAATTATAATTATATAATATTATAAAATACTCTATATTTTATTGCAAAAATCACCAGTAGTTGATGAGTTATAAATTCATTAATTCTTGAATTATAAATCAACTAATAGGTTATAGTCATATTGTTAGAAAAAAGTTTTAATCAAATTATTGCGGTGTATTTGTAGAATTCTCAGATAAGCATTGATATTTTAAAAAGTGAAATTTTTATGTACATGTATTTTATTTATGTACAGGTACTATAATTAATATCGATATAAAATTTGTATAAAAACAAAAGCTACTACTATTTAATTTAAAAAAATAAAAGACTATATTTGACATTAATGCACTAGAATTGATAGATATTCTAATCTGAAAATGACTACAGAAAATAACAACTAAAATTTAAAAATTGGAAATTTCTCAAATAAAACGTCATATAAATTCTTACTTGAATCTTACATGAAATCTAATTATGTTACATATTTGGTATTTTTAGTTTATATTTTATTGCACTAACTTAACTTCCTCTAAAGATATGAGTTTGCTCCGTTTTTTTTTTTTAAATAGAAATTCAAAACAAAAAAAAAATAATTATTGATAATTTTTATTCTGGAATATTAAAGTACAATTTATGATCACGTGTATTGCATATTATTTAGATAATAATGATTAATATGGCAAATGTACAGTTTGTTTACAAATTATAAACATACATACAAAAAAAATAAAACTTACAACAAAATAAAGTATTAGAACAAGTTTACAGTAAAGTCTCCTACAAAATGAACATGTAATAATTTTTTGTTGTTGTAAA